TAAAATTGCAATTATAACTCGAAAGGTAGAGATGTTTAGAACGCTAATGATGTTAAAACATCAAAACTTTATAAGCATGCGACATACATAATAGCAAGTTTTATTTTATAGTACAAACAATTTTTATAGAAGTCGTAAATTAAAAATGAATTAGGCTTATTACCTAATTATAATCCTAATAATGTCAAGAACAAACGTTTATACAAATACTCTATCGTATCGAAAAGAAAACAATGTATCGTGCAAAATATTTTTGATAAATATGAATGCCTATTTAATAAAAAGCACAATTAATAAAAAAAATAACAAAAACTCTCAGGTCTTTTGACATTTCATTCAATAGATCATCGTAACCGCTGAAACACACTGACGTTCGTTAGTTTATGTTGGCGTCAAACGAGTATCGAAAAAATAAAAAACACCAACCTACGTAAAACGTAATTTGCGACAGAGGCCATTTTCATCTATCACATTCGCACATCCACAGCACATAATTCGCGTCCCGGCGATCGAGAGAAGCACAAAGTAAAACTGGCAAGACATCGTCATCGAGAAATCCTAATTACCGACAAAAGCTTCGAAGAGGCGACGTGCGATACGAGAGGAAAAAACAATTAACGTGCTTGAAAAGACGATCGGGAAGTTAAGGCAGAGAGAGTGAGAGAGAGAGAGAGAGAGAGAGAGAAAGCTCTTGCGCGACACTGAGCTCGTTGCATTCACGCTCTAATTACGAGTGCTGCCTCCTCTTAGCCACACTCACACACATCTAAGCCTTTTTCTTTCTCTGTGTCTGGCATTGTCTGTTAAACCACGAAACACGCGTACAAGAAGCTCGCGCGCGCGTCTGGCGTTCCTTTTTTTGCTGCTGCCTGCCGCGGAGCTTTCATCTGCTAGTTCTCTCCTGTCTACTGCTGCGCCGCTCCCCGTAATTATCGCGCGTTTCCTTTTTTCTTCTTTCTTTCTTTCTTCTATTCTTCGGGTATGCTATAGGGCAAGCTCCGATTGATTGCTCACCTCTGCGCGTGTGCGTGTGAGTGTGAAGTCATGGCAAATGTATGCAGGATACGCGGGCTCGAGAAGACTTATGACGAAAAGTTTTTGAAAAAATTTGTTCGCTTTCACCTTTATTAACCTATTACTTAACATCGTATCCGCTCGAGCATTCATTCTTCCACCTATACATCGCTCGATACACGTATATCCGACAAACATCTCGATTCCCGGAAATTGACGTTGTCAGCCAAACTCAGCCGCAGAGTAAGCTATGTAGTTTCCAGAAGTTATAATTAATTGCCAAAGTAGAATCGTTGCTAAGGCCAATATAGTCTTGCCGCAATTACATACATACATACATAGAAACGAACAACTTTTTTCCCCACACAGAGGAAATTACATATTCCCAAACGAAACAAAAAAAAAGGTAGAAGAGATCGATTATCCAAAGTTTTCGGCCATCTGGCTATGCATACACAAAAAGATATTGCTACACGTCGACAGGCGTTAAGGGACATGGCAAACAACCCCATAGAGAAATGCTGCTTCTTCTTCATTTTTTTTGTTATTATGACTTTCTGTCGCTCTCTCTCCCTCTCTACGTATATATGTGTGTATTTGTTTTGATAAGCGTGCAACGAGTGCTGCCGCTACTCTCGCGAAATCTTACGCTCGGCAAGTTGTATCTCCTATCTTTACGCTCGATAACCTTTTCCCGACGATGCGTAATCTCGAAGCTCCGATCTAAGCCTTATATACTTATGGGGTTGTAAATCTGCTCTTCCTTGGCTTGTCTTCTCTTCTTTTTTACTTGATGAATACTTTAAGTGTATGCTGAACAAACATGGTAAGGACGTTAGGATTAATGGTAACTCTTACTGCGATGACCCAAAGCCAAGTTTCTTTTGGGAAAAGGCTTTCTGTAGCCTAGAGTTGAGATATAGAGTATTGATAATCGCCTGTGTAGCGATGGGTAAGCTGATTGATGGTATAATTGGCATGATTTACATCAATATTTGACGTGCTGATTGCTTGTTTGCATTTTGATTTATTTCATCAAAGGTCGTTTATTTTAGTAACAAATATTAAAAATAATGTAATGTATCAGAGAAACAATATAAAGCAAACAGCTTCAACCGTTCTCTTATATAAAATCTTACCTTTACAAAAACAAAGTATTTCAAATACAACGTCAATAGCTCTGTACAAAATAAGATCGTGGGCAGTCTCTCGCGACAGCAACTAATCGGAATAAGGTGTTGAAACAAATCGAGGCCTCTGTATGTATGCATATCTTCGCCGCGAGTATGAAAAGCAAAGAGAGCTGAGCGAATAGAGCTCATAAAAAATTCACGGAGCATAAGCGGTGTATACGCGAGATAAAAGCAATATATTTTGCAATATGGAATGCTTTGATCCACGAAGCGCGGCATCGCGTCCTTTTTACCCGACGTGTACATTTGCCGCCGCCGGCGCCCCTTCTCTGATATCTTCTTTCGCTTATCTTTCTCTCTCTCTCTCTCTCTCTCTCTCTCCTCTCTCTCTCTCTCTCTCTCTCTCTCTCTCTCTCTCTCTCTCTCTCTCTCTCTCTCTGCCTTTCGTCCAATTTTTTTTTCTGCTCGGCCCTACTCACATTTTCTCGTTATTTATGTGCGACGTCTTTTTCTGTTTCTTTTTCTTTATTGCTGCCTATAGGCTTGATCAACAATTGAGAGTACGTCGTTCGCGATAACTTTTCCTCAACGTATGAGTATGTTTTTTTGTAATATATTGGAAATGGCGATGAGCAAGAAGAAACATCGTTTTATGCGTAAACAAATATGACCGAAATACGGCTGATAAATTGCAGCTTTGGTGTACGTTCTACGCTTTTATTCATCATTTTACTAGAAATTTTATTTAGCCATATTTACAGCTATAAATTTGTATTTTTATTCTAAATCTAATCACACTCTTTTCTATATTTTAAAGAATAGCTAAAACAATACAATTGACACTGAGTGACTATACTTTTCTTATACTTACTGTTTCACACAGATTGTTATTTGTCTCAAATGCGGCTCAAACAGTATTATTCATTGTGTGGCCAATTATAATGAATTATCAAACAAATCACCGCTATCAAATTACTCTCCAAATAAAAGCCCACATAAGTGCTTTATTGCTCTAGAAACTCATCAGAATGCCAGACTTAGCCCAACAAAAAGTTTTGAAGAAACGTGCATAATCTTTTTAAAGTCCAGACACCATAGACATATAACATGATTCATACGCACTCATCTTGATTAAGGGATTAAGCCTGCAATATGGGTGTAAGAGAGGGACGTTCATTCATGCAGCTTCGCGCGTGCGCTTGCGTCTGATCAATCTCCAAGCTTCCCGCAATCCCCAGCCAAAAAAAAAGCCTACTCGTGAGATTTTACGTATGCACACCGATCGTTGGCTGTCGCATATCATAGCCCCGAGCCTGTCGTCGTCGTGCTTCTGATTGCGATTCGCTCTGTGGCATATCGATGCTCATCGGCGCGCTATATCTCTCGAGGAAATCCCTCGACGCGAAATGACGAGTCATGCGTTCCCCGGGACAAAAACGAAAAGAAAAAAAAAAATAAATACCAAGCCCACGGCGCACGCATAATTATCAGAGGCGCACGTGGATCGCTAATCAATTTGTCGAAATTTAGCTGGCGCTGACGTGTGCGTGCGCGTCAATTTAAAATTTGGCAGACGCACGCGGGCGAGCGAATAGGTATACACGCGATAGGCGAAATCGCATGGAAATTTCGCGCTAGGCGCACGGTTGACTCTTCATTATACTCCCACCCCCTTCCTCTTCCCAAAACGCGCTAAATTGACAGTACCCCCCCCCCCTTTCTCCGTCCGTCGACCAATTTCATTATGCATCGATATACATGCGCATCCGTCCGACCCAATATACTTATTTCGACTCACACATATATTTGTTAATTGAGCTGTGAATCGATATGCGTGTGCTAATTTCCCTTTTTTTTCTCATCGGTTGGGTTATTCTTTAGTGTGCGAGATATGCACCGAACGGCATATGCGGTGCTGTATTGCCGCAGAAAAAAAATTATATGGGCGACGACGTTTCCGTTTTCGATGTTTTATGAGCCGAAACACACAGTGTATCGGCTCATTTGCTTTGTAGCTTGAAATCGAGAACGACACAACAATTTGGCACTCAAAATTTTGGCTGTAGCCTGCGGGGGAATAAAAGATATTACGTGTGACATAACGATATTACATTCAGTGCTTTCTGTTTTGTTATTTCGAAAAAATTGCTACTCAATTGTTTTTAGTATCGCCGTTGTCAAATTGATCCAAGTCAATTCAGCAATTTAGCAACCTCATATTTTTAAAACCCTTTGATAGAAAAGCTGCTTACTCGCATTATTTTCATAATAATTTAATATTTGATATATTGAGTATGGACTGATGTTATTCTTTGCGATCGGGATTCCAGAATGACCTTTTGTAATAATCGCTCGATTGAAAATTGCATATTTTTGTTTAAAGCTTCTGATTATTTTTAAAGAAATTTCAATACTTATATTCTATATATAATTCTATATTATATCTTTTATCAAAGATATCAATTTTAAAGATAGAAAAGATACTTTTATCAAGCTTTTACAACATTGGAAAATAACTCAATACTCTCAATAATCCATTTCCAATCATTCAAAGGTACCGAAAAGTTTCATTAATTATTTTCCATTTTCTTGTATAAACGTTAGTGGAGAGGATGATATTTTGAATTCATTTATAACAAATATTATTTTTGCTTGATAACATTTTTTATGTACTAATCTATAATAACATTTTATATGTATGATATTATTACTTATAGAATTTAATCACAACAAAAAAGGAATTTTCACAATATGAATAATGGATTTTGTTGAAATTGAAAGTTACCATAAATTGATGTAAATATGTATTAGAAGAAGGAAAATAAAAATTCAGCTCTGCTTCTTAATTGCATTCATTTATTATGGATACTAATCAGTTAGGTATTAGACAAGTCTACAATTTGTATCGTGAAAATGACGTCGAGAGCACTTGTAAACTCTTGCACATTTCGCGTAGTAGCATATAGCTAAGACATCATTACTGATAGTCGATTAATCTTGAAAAAAATCCCAATCGAAAACTTACGAATTTCGCAGTCTACCTAAATTTTTGTTTAATCAATCATTTGTATTTCGACTTCGAAATGGAACGGAAAAATATATGTTTGAGATACATACATATACATTTGTATATATATCAATCGTGTAAAGCAAATCGTAGTATATTTGTTTTACCCTTGAAATCTAAAAGTTATAAATACTGATAATAAATTAAAGTGGTAGGTTACAACTGTTTGTCGTGTGACTGTGTCTGCGTCTATGTTATAGATGTGTCGGTTTTCTTTTTCGCGTCTTTTCGACCACCTATGGCAGGTTGTGCTTAAACATTTCTGTCGCGCTTATGTACATACGAAAATCGAAGGTACTTGCTTTATTGCTAACGGGTGGACTCAACACCAGATCGAAGCGTTGAAATAAAAGTTACACGAAGTTATCATTTTATTTTGTTCCTCTCTTGACTATCTTGGTCGTCGTGTCTATACTTACATGTTACATTTATTATAAATTTAAAGCTACAATTTTGCGATACATTTCACTTCCGTTTATCGCATATTTTTTCAAATTATGTTCAATCTTTTGTTTCATTACTAATAATACGTTACTTAAAAACTAATGTTTTTCCTGTTTTTTTTTGTTACATCTTTTTATACAAACATTCACGAATCTGATACGGTTAGTACTAAGTAAAGTAGTATCTTTCAACGGACGTATTTGAGGCAGTACACATCGGCGAATGAGGGAGAATTTGATATGGATAACGTTGTTTTGTGTATCTTTTTGCAGTTGATTGTAATTTATATTGACAATATAATGTGCACTTCTTACACCAGCAAAATTATATATGCTACACTTTCCGCGTGAATGGGCACCAGTTAATTATAAAAAATTTTTATAAACTGCATCCATTTATCAATCGTTGATCTTTCATATAATTTTTTACAAAATTGAAATGGCATACAGATTGTTTCCTCATCCAAATGGAAATCTATTTTCGTTTGAAATTATGTTGATCTGAAAAGCCATTTCCTGAATTATAACGCGAATGAAGTTTCTGACGGCATATTCTCTTGGAATTTGTCAACGTATAAAACCACACCTATTAATTCATAGTCAATCAACACACACGCATTTTAATAATAAGAGACAATGAAAATTGACTAAATAGAAGACTAACATTAAATGACATTCAGAGTATCAAAATTGAGTTTAATTTATTTCAATAGATTGATTATTTAAGTACATAAAATGTATGCACTCTATTACTTTATGTACGAAAGAATTTATTTATCTTCCAAAATCCATATACGTGACGCCACTTCTTCTGAACATGTGCGTGTTGCAACACCAAATACACGTACAAAAAATCGATAACAACAATTTCACACAATATGTTACGGAGAGATTAAACTATGAGATATTTTATATCCGTACAAATTTCATTTCAAATGCTTTTTTACAATAAATAATAGTTATAAGGTCCAATTTTTACAAGTAAACTTTGTAATCATTCATTATATAATTTACAATGGCATACCGCTTTAGTTTATTCATGTGTAATAAAATTAAAACAATAAAAGTTGTATTTCAATCATTAATAATAATAAATAAAAATTATCAACACTACGATGGCCGATCAACTTAATAATTCAAAATTAAACATTATAATAAAAATACCGATAACACTGATTTTGGCAATAGCTATCAATTTAATGTCTAATAAATGTTTTTTCTTATTTCTTTAATCATTTGCTTGAGCATCGATTTGTAAGTGGTTTTGATCAATTCATGTACGTTGTGTAAATATAATTTTAGTAATTATTAAAGTGCATTTTTCAAATGACAATGAATAAATTATTCAGTATATAACATTCAAGATTCCAAGTTAATAAGGCGCTGGCACGTGAAACACAAGTATACTACGAAATACTGACGAGTGAACACTGGAAGCACGACTATATCTTGTGATCAATATTATTTCGATGCTCAGTGTAAGTATAATACATATATGTAGATTTACGAAACTTAAAGCAATATCAGTGCTATTATTAGCAAATGTACACTGAAAAAAGTTATTATAAAAAGACCAAATACTATGAAAATAGTAAATTATTGTTAATATTCAATAAAAATTGATACAAAATCTACATGGTTTTACCAATTTTCTTAAACGTTATGCAATATGACATAGTCAAAAAAGAACCAATCAGTTTCTCTGAGACTTGCTTTCCCCGCTTTTTTATATCAATGCCAAAAAACGTAACATATCAAATGGCAGTCCAATCATTGCACAAAATTTAACACTTAAGATTATAATTCAATTCATCGATAATGATACTACTAAATACGATTATCAGCAGTCATGTCTACTTCAGTATACGTATTCATGGCAGTTTATTTTCTTTTTCTATATTTAAAGTCGTCCGGCGAAGCTCGCAACGATTACAATTCGCTAAAATTCTTTGCGCATATCACATTACTCTCTGTCTCCTCTTTTTTTCGTTACACGTTGTTCTCGTTTTGCGGCGTGAAAAATTGTCAAGTATAAATGTTCTATTCTACCTGTATAATATACACACTTTGGCTTTTGCCGAGACGATACTTTAAAGTCGATCAGAGCGCATTGCCACCATAAATGTTTAATGTATTTACACTAAATACGAAGATAGAATAAGTAAAATTATTCCTTCAAGGATTGATCAACTTATTAAACTATATTAACACATTATGAAATTATTGATCATTCTATAACATAAGAAGATAGGAATTTACTTTACAATAGTAACATTTTTTAATAGCTCGAAAACCTTTACTGTAATGCTAAACAAATCATAATGAAGTCTACTAATTCTACCGTATAAAAAAAATTCAAAAGCTTCTATATCTAACTTAACATATGTAGTGAAAATACACAAGAAGTCTAAGTTTATTAATTATCATAAAAATTGAAGTGCGAACATATTCAACTTTAATACTATATTACATTTTAATACTTATTGCTTAAACCATCTATCATCTAAATCTACTATGCGTTAATCAACAGCCAAGATTAGCTATGCCTCTATGTACATACATGTAAATATAAGCTTTCAATGTGTAATACGCGTCTGATCAACTGTTCTCTCATCTCTTTTTTCCGTCAAACTTAATTATCACGTGAATCACTAATTTTTTGACTGGTAAAAATTAAAATTCTTTCTAAAATCCAGTTTTTCAACATTTTGTTTAAATATCTAGTATTGGTTGAAAAATTTTAGTTTAATTATCACTTCGTAATCCTAGTTTGACACGCTTCCCATATCAGAATTAGACGATGACCGTGTTATTTACATTTCAAATTAAATGGTTGGTATTGGTATTGGTGATTTTTCAAAATTATTATCACTTTTTATAGTTTACATTTATTCACACGAGTTTGTACTATTTAAAATTTACAAAACAATCTACTAAACAGAAACATCTTGAATTCTTTTTTTATAACTGTATTTTTCGTGCAGAAAACACGTTAAAAAAATAAATCACCAATATACATACTCAACTGAATCATTCGAAGAACCAACGCCTCTATATACAGGTTTCGAGAAGTAAGGACGCAGAGCTCCTTGGATCTCAGAAAGCCTCAACGAAGCTCGCAGGAAAAAGTCCCGTGCGTCCAGTACGTTGTTGCGTACCTTTGTACCAACCATCTTCGCGCTTTTTATGGACGTAGATTATATCACCTACGCGTAACTCTAATTCGAATTCGCTGTTTGGTGGGTAGGGTACGATACAACGGAATCTGTACACTCGTTCACTGAAATATTTAACATTTATCAAAATAAGTACAGGTAAAAAAAACTTTGCAAACTAATTTTATAAATAAATAAGTTTAATTACCGGTCCCTTGTTGAAGACTGTTGTTTCACTTGCTTTGCTCTTCCAGCATCTAACGAATGACTTTTACGATGAATACTATTCAATGTATCAGCGCCACCAGCATCTGTGGACCTGTACATTCAATTAAATTAAAATAAAAATTTCTTTGTAAAACTTATAGAAGTTTAAAATGTTTAAAGTCTAAGAACGATTTAAAAAAAATGTAGAATTGATAAAACTTTTTACCGATATGTATTGTTTTATTTATATAGGAAACATTGCAAAATAAATAAAATGCGACGAATTCTGTGGTGTATTTTTCCGTGATACATTCTTAACACTGCTAATACTCACCATCAAATGTTTAATAGATATAAACAGTAACAATTTCAAGTTCAGACAGACACATGCTCATGTGCAACAATACATCTCGACCAATAACTACATGTACACGTGTAAATAATATTTTCACTATGATTTGTATTTAAACATGTACAACTTCGTGCAAAACTCATAAGTTTCGTTCTAGCACATATTGCTCAAAGTACCAAAATAAAATTATATATAATCGATACAAGCATTAATACAAATATTGAAATCTTCATACACATATATTATTGCAATATCTATTTGATATATTTTAGTCTCAATAGCTCATTTCAATTCAAGTTAGAGACACAAAACAAAAATATTAACGTATACACAATATTAATCACACAAATAAAAAATTAGATGTGTCATTATTGAAATAATGGATTATACCTGTCATTTGCTAATGTTGAAGTAAACGAATTAGAATGCCGACTTGAAGGACTATAAAAAGAAAACTAACCTTTGAAGAAAAGTAGCTGGTAAGGAGGGTCTCTCCTTGTGTTTGACACGCTGTGAAGTAGTGCCGTATCCGTGAACAGGGTGCATGCGATGGTGGCTATTCGTGGAAATGTTTAGTTCCTGCGCAGCTCCTACCTGCAGTAATTGGCTTGGGCACGAGCCTGATCTGGTGTTTACCAATGGATCCGTAATTATGTTAGTGTTTACAGTTTCAACGGAGATTACCAATTAATCTCTAGTTTCAACAATAACAATTTTTTATTCGAATTTTCAATAGAATAGGCTTTTTGTTTGATTAACTGAAAATTTTAATCTCGTAAAAATAAGATATATTTTCAAAGATTTCCAATGTACTTTTGTAAAAAAATATGTTTATCATTTATTGTGGCTATCCGATTAAGTTTACAATATATGTTTGAGCGATTCTTCTAATGTAATGATTCGTATTTTCTTATTATTATCCTATAAACACGTTTCATAGCACAAAGCACATAAAACACACAGCGTACATGATTATAAACAAGCATGTGTAGCTTCTAAACATGCCATTTATCTAATGCTCATGATTACGAAATACTCATTGGGAAGCAATAAAATGGAAACAAAATCAAGCTATCATACTTCAAGCTATTAAAACACAAAAGCTGTGATTGCGCAAACAAGTATTCCGAGCATTCATAATTGAGGCTTACCGGACGTGAATTGGATTGATTGATGAAGATTGACTTGTATTTCCGTCATCAAATACTGGATTGTCCATTGAATAAGTCGACGGCGGAGGCGATTTTGATTTCTTTATGCTTGCCAGACGCTGCATTAGCGACATTTTTTCCTTCTTATCTTTGATCTAACAAGTAATGAATTACAGAATTCAATCAAAATTCTATTTGAATTGAAGAAATTATTCTTGAATGATACCTTCTGAAATTTATCTTCCACAGACTTTGGTTTCATAGCTGGGGTAGATAAACTTGCAGATGCTGACGCCGTATGCGGTGTATTGATAGGACTTTTATTAGAACTACTGGTAGAAGTTGTGGCAGCCAAAGGTGAAGTAGTGGCAGTTGTTAATGAGGGTAATGCGAGTTTACCGGGAGAATCTATGTAAATGACGAGGTTTAAAATATTGATTAAAAAATTCAGAGAAAGTAAGTATGTTTTTACGGTAGTAAATCAATTTTTAAAGATAAACATAAATATATGACATATAGAATAATTAATATTAAATATAAAAATTAAAGTTCAACGCTGTAAGATAAACAATAGCCAAATATGCTGTTACATAAATAATATAAAAAATGTATCGCTTACTCATAGTTGCCAAAGGTAAACTATCATGATTCTTCGCAACAGCAACAGCTACAGCAGCAACGGCAGCAGTCGAACCAGTTTGTTCAGACAATCTGGGCGGACTTTGGGTCTTGTTTTGTTGTTGCTGTTGTCTTTGATTACTCCACGGACCCCAAGTGCTGGTTGGCGCGGGACTCAAGGCTCGAGGTGGCAGTTCAGGAGGTGGTAATTTAAATTGTGACTGTGGTGTGGCACCTTTGACTTTAGTGTAAGTGATTGTCGGTCGGGCTTCGGCACCGGACACTTGGCTCGACGCGGTACTTGGCGAGGGTACTGCACTTGGAGATCGGGAGATCGTTCGCTGACATCTTCAAACAGGTAATATTTAGTTATATATTTAATATTTAATTGTGCATAACTTTTATTTTACATTTTAATTGAAATATCAATGTAAAAAAAACAATCACGAATGTAGCTTTACGTTTAATCTTTGAAAAAGATCGGTCCGATAACAGTCGATCAATATTGACTGTTATCATTGTACAATCTGTACATACAACTTCACTGGAGATAACCTAAATGTACTTACTTGGCAGGTGCGACATAATTTCCAGGAAACACACCGCATTTCTGTGTACGATTCGAAGTGCCCTTGAACCAACCATCCTGACACCTTTCTGTCACAACATAAATGGCTCCTTTCCTCAACTCCAATTCGTCACCTTTCTGTGGTTTATATGGATACAAAGCGATATAACTCGCGGGTAAATTGCTGCTTCCATTTGCTGTCGATATTCCTGAGGCCGATACTGCTGACGCTGCCACAGATCCAGCAGGTGCACTACTGGTCATTGAAGACGATTGACCGAGCACCAAATCACTGCTACCACTACGCTTATGGCGTGGGTTAACATCACCTGCACTTCCAATTGTCTAAAATAATCAAGGTATTATTAGTTTAAAAACTGATGTTGAAATTTAGATAAGGAAAAAAACTTCAACCTTGAATAAAAATGTAATTCAAGAGGGTATTGTTACATACTTGACTCGAAGTAAAAGTCGGATCATTAGTCATAGCTTCGCCCCCAGCAAGTGCGGCATCAACCGCAGCACTAAGAATTTCAGCACTGTGTCGATGTTGCGGTTGAGGTTGATGAAAGTTGTTGACTCCCGTGAAACTGTGCCTTTTCGTACTATGTCGATTAGCTACCGCGGGTGGTGACATGGCAGGACTACTCGGGCTACTCGGTGTCGTGCTCGAACTACTTGAACTTGGACTTGTGATTACTGGTGACGAGGTTGTCGTAGAACTTCCGCCTGAAGAAACATTCGACTCGGTTGTTGGTAGCGATACTGTCTAAAATTTTAATTTTCACAATGTAATAATTGAAAATATTTACATGATTTGGGTAATATTGTTATTATTAGTGTTATTGTTATTGTGACTTCAATATGGTATGAATATTTTAATATTTATAATTTCTATACCGGTGTTGGTTGTTGCCTTAGTTGATTTGATGTTTGAACTGTGTGAGTATGGTCTGTGGGTATTAACGGAATGGTCTCTTCATTTGTAGGTGTGGGTGGTGCAACTCTTGATGGACCAGGTTGAACACTATTTAAAAAAAAATAAATTGTAATAATTTTATATACTAATAACATTCGATTTACAGAGATTTACTTATATCTTACTTTGTGGACAATTTCATCAAAGCTCTAGCAACACTATTGAGCTCGACAAAAGCTAGCGGAAAAATACCAATCCTGTCAAGAAGTTTACCTTCTGCCCAATTCTCATCAACCCTTCTGATGACACTAATAATTTCTCCCTAAATCATATTCATAAAAAATATAAATTAAAAATCCTAAGATATGATATTCAATTAATGAAGTAGAAAGAAATAAAACTAAATTAGCACCTTATTGAAAGTGAGACACCCATCTTCATCATCATTTGACATTCTAAAGTCATAGAGAGCTTTACATTGAGGAACATGTGGAGGTAAAGGAGTCATTACCTGAAAATCCATTATATATTAAGGAAAATCAAAGAAAGAATGAAAAGGATTTCAAGAAGCTCTTTACTCACTTGAACATACGATAAAGGAAAGACACCATGGTTAGTTCCGCATTCTCCAAAATACCAATTATTATCAATCTTTTTCCTTAAAATAATTATGTCACCTTTTCGAAAGCTTAGATCACTGAAACATTATTTCAAGGTGAAATAAATCTTAAGATCATAATTTGTTAGATTAATAGTACATCAATTGAAACAACATACCCTGGAACCTTGGAAATATAGTCGTAAATGGCACGACCATAAGGTCGATTGTGAAGATGGACTTGCTTAGCAGCTACATTAATCTGTTGTGCTGATTCAGGTGTGACTATTGCTACTGGTAAGTTTGGACTGACACTCAAACTGTTTGGAGTAATTTGATGTCCACCAAGTAACCTTTGAGGAGTATTAATGGTCCTTTGAGGTGTTTTGTTACCCTTTGGAGTAGCATTTTTCATGCCCTCCAATATCCTCATGAGAAGAACATTAGGCGGCAGATCTTCGACTTTGACACTGACCAGAATCCGACATTCAGGACAACGCAATTCCCTGTGCGTGATTATAATTTCTTCCAAGCACTTCTTACAAAAGGTATGTTGGCATGGTAGGACTTTACTTGATGTATCTAATCTTTCCAAGCACACTGAACATTCTAGCAAATCATTAAGCATACATTCATCCATAGCTATGGTGATTCCTGTAAAAACAAGTACAATGACATGAATTTGTTTACTGTAAATGTCTGTATATTTATAAAATATTTGTCACTCATAATACAGAAATATAGACTGCACTATTTGTGATTTCACTTGGGTTTATGCGTAGCTAAATATAACAATGTTTTTTCAGTTCAGTCTGTTGAATAAGGAGCTGAGTCAGGTTACAAAAAGAAAAACTTGTGAAACTAGAGCACAGCTCTATTACTGTTGTTAATTAACAGCTACAGCTCAATAATTAATACTCGCCTTCGAGATCATCAAAAGAATAAAAAAAAAAACGAAAGTTAATTACTCCAAATTCATAATATCTATAGCAACAAGCACTCACTCTATTCCGAATTAAAAGCCATAGTTAATGAAAGGTGCCTGCTTCAAAGGTTATCGTACTGCACTGACTAAAGCCATTCACCTAGCAAGCACCTGACATAGCCTCGGTGAATCACTTTTAAAATTCTCAACATTCGTAACTGCAAACTACAAATGCAACAGACCACCACTTCGTAGAGTCTTAATACTCAAAAGAGAAATTTGTTTACATGTCTCTTATCGCGAGAGCAAAATAGAGAGAGCTTATCGGAAGTGTATTATCAGATCGAATGCTCACCTCAATTCACTAGCGGCGATAAAAAGCGCGCGACATTCGCTCGCGTCTATTGTAGTCCTTGGCCCGGTTGAGACATCATCACGATCATGATGTTGCAAAAGGAGCTGGTGCACTCACTCACCACTCGCCACCGCGCGTGAGTCAGGTCGAGCAACCAGATATATACCTACTACTATGCTCCTCCGCCATTTCTTCATTTCCGGCGCGCGCTGGGCGTGCTATACTATTCTATACGTGTTCCTGTGTGCTGCGTTCATGTATGCAGCGCGCAAGTGAGAGGGAGAGTTCCTTATTTTTTTCTGCAACGACAAGTGCACAGATAGCTCCCTTTCTTTTTTGCCGACGATCGGGTTTCGACGCCTTCGCCCGCTGAGCCGAGAAAACTGATAGGCAAAAGTTTTTTAAAAAAGGGAGTCTGGTTAAAACCTAGCTCTTTTTGTCTTATATATATTGCTATAAACGTTAGGAAACTTTTCGTTTATAAATAATCAACTACTGCTGCAGCTGCAGATGCATTTACGGATGCAGCGGTGTGAACCCATTTCGCGCGAATATTTGCTCCGAATTGTTTTTATTGCACATAAAATCATACCTTTGACAACGACTTTTTTTTTAATAATACGTAAGTCGAGAATTTGTTATTTCGTTTATGAAAAACTGAAAAAAATGTCGTAGTTGACATACTTTTAAAGAGATTGACTACGCATTGTACGCGATGTGCTTCTTCGTAAAGTGGTAAATTGCAATTGTACAAATTCCAGACGATCAGGCTAATTTAAAGGCCAAAATCTATGCTTTCGAGCAAGTAGACTAAATGATACGTTGAAACATTTAAAACTAGGCAGATGATTCTCGATCAACATTGCGTTCACCCTAATCTCGAAAGAAAAAAGGAATTCCTTTAAGGTGCAATGTGTTGATCTTTTACATTTCCACCTGTTCCCCGGCAGTCGACCGGCAGGTCAATTACCACATTCCACTGTAATAATGCTAATGAAGGTGTACCACCTTGCGTGTATGCGATATTTCATCTTTTTCGACATCGATTACCAAATTTGCAACAAGGCATACGTGCACGTCAAATTCTTAAATGCAAACCTATGCAATCGTTTTGATTTTTGCCAACTACAGTTGTTCGAATTCTCAAGGAATTGATTAATCGTTCTATCTTGTCAAAATTTCCGCAAACTTAGAAGTATTTTTCAATCATCAAATAGTGTATAGATCATAAATTATCTTATCAAATAAATAATAAATAAACATCTGCAATAGAAGCTTACCGGTATGGAAAACTTTCCGCGTTAAGCGAGAAGCCAAAAATGAAATATAATGATCACGGTAACGAAGAGCGGGGGCGAAACAAAAAACACGAACGAGAGAGGTAAAGAGGGGATTCGTTGATTACAGCTGCACAAGGGAGGAGGGGAGCTCTCCACTGCCTGCGTATAGGAAGGAGGGAGAGAGGCGAAGTGTTATGTGAGTTTACGTCGCGTCACGTGATCCAAATTGATGGATCGTCATTGACCATCATCAAAGCTTACAGCTTATGCGCCAATGTCAAATTGTCCGTGAATTAAAAAATATATTTCTCTTCGCAGAAAACTTTCGTAGTATGCTTTTAATCGATGAATGCAATAATTATACAACCAGGAAAAGGTCGTTATGATATTGATAATAATTGATCGCAATTTTTCAATATTCTCAATGTACGATTATTTATTATTTTGAATCATAAATACGATAGCAAGTAAATAATCGAAATAAACTACAAATTTCAAATGAATTTACCTAAATCAGATAAATTTTACTATATGCCACATCGACTACAATACGAAATATAGGCATAGCAATTCACCATTTCACATGTAAATATGATGCTATTTTTAAAAACTGCTGACATTACAAAAATTTTTTAAATATCACGTTTTATTTTATTTCTATTTAGTTGTTTAGAAAACAATATGTCTTAAATACAATTTTTCGTGTTTCGGATGAAACTGTATACATTCTTGTTATTTTATTCTCCTACGCTTATCTACTCTACAGACATGCTTTGAAATTCAAATCCATTCATTCACCAGTACGATTCATTCATGAAAATATTGGAGCATAAACATACAGCAGTTCAATTAGAAATAAAACTTTTTAAATAGATACTAAAAGTAAATCCTTATTGAATCACTTTTCAAACTGTTTGCAAACTAAATACTGACAAGCAAAGTAAGTAACTTTAGTCACGCACCTGTTCACGGACTGGCAGCATATAGCTTATAAAAAGAAAAGTCATCAAGCAGCATGCGTCCGTGAAATCGAAAAATCAGCTGCAACAACCGTAATAAAATAAGTCATACCACTGTCATTCGTATGTGGAAAGTCTGACGGTACTATGGACGGTCAGAAAAGTAGAGTGGCGGCGAGGGGGAGCCCCTCCCCTTCGATATCGCGCGTCGACTCTCCAAAAAACGTTCGTACAGAACGCTGGGCGGTGGAAGAGGAGGACCGAAGGGGAGGGGGAGGTACCTCCACCGGCGGCGCCGAAGCGAAGAAGAAGACGGCCGCCATCACGCGCAGCAGCGAAGAGCGCAAAGAGAGCCAGCTTGTAACTTCGCGTTTGTTTTCGCTTTGCCAGACTTTGCTCCTCTTACCTCGTCCTCGTCGTCGTGTCTTACAATCAAAAGTATGCCGCGAAGTAACTTCGTACAACGCGCTGCTGACAACACGTGAGTATCTCGCTCACTCTATCTTTCTCTTTCTCTCTCTCTCTCTCTCTTTTATCTGTTTCTGCGGCCTATAAGTGAGGCGAGTTAATCTGGCGTACAGAAGAGTGAAGTTAACTTGTGTATATATATGCGTGCGGTGTCCGTATGTGCGGTTTTGTTTTCGTATCAGCGCGCGATAATTGATGCACGTTTCGGCTCTCACGGCGACCATCTTGCGTCTTTTTGGAATGTTGCGCGTAGCAGCAGCGATCCTAATCGGGATTTCATCCAAACGATAAGGATTTTCGTATAGTGAACGCGCGCGCTTGCTGTATATGCAATTTTCTGTCGTTCCGGTAGTTTTCGAAAATAAAAGTAGGGTTGTGTCGTAATTAAAGTTGATTGTTCTTGTGGGGCTTTGTTACTGTACCACAGTCCCGATGAGTCACTCTCGTGGTGTGTTGACTTTTTCTTCTTTTTTTCCTATAACCTTTCTTTCAGTGATTTAGTTGTATATTTAATGCTCAGTCTATACACGTCTTGACCTACAAGTAGTTGTGGTCAGGTGTGTTTAGGGAGCGTTGAGTGAACATAGTATGATTTAATTTAGTGTATTAATTCATTATAGAAAAATTTTTTTTATTACACTGACAATGAATCTTTCCCAAACACTTAGCTGTCATTAAAAATAAAATAAAATTTGAATTATCATCGAGCGCAATATTGATCAAAAATATATGCACTAAATCTACATGCATAGGTATAACCTTAAAATATTCCTTTAAAATACAAAACTTATTTGTCTTATAATTACTTTAAATAATTTATCATTAAATATATAAACGGAGCTCAATATTATTTTCCAGAAAGAAGAATGAAGATTACCTGAAGTATGTGGTAGACGGTTTTTACTAATCAAAAATGAACAGTGAGCAACATGCTCTGCCAGCGACAACGCAGGCACAACAAGAGGTAAATAAAGTCATTTTGTCCTATTATTTCTTAGCCAAGATACAAATGTGTATTAGCAGTATTTTTACTTCTCTTCTATTTTGGTATATAGATGTTTGCAATTTGAAAAAGCTATCTCTCCCTTTTTCTGTCTAAACATATTACTTTATTATTTTCACTATATTTTTATATATAGAACTTGATAATTTTTCAACCTAGTAATATATAGAATAATCTTGAGTAGAAATTAAAAGACACCTTGTAGATTGCACGTTTTAATTTCATATAATTAAATAATTCAAAAAAATTTCAACTCTTTTTGACATCTGTCTCAAATGTAGATGGCATATGATAATAGCCAATGTCAGTCTGTTCTAAGACATCTATTCTAATGAAATATTTGTGTAAGCTATGGTACATTTGTAAGAGGCTGTGTAAATTATTGTTGTTTACTGCATGGCAAATTGATGTTGTAAATGTGTATTGATAGGAAATAAGTGGTCAAGGTACTACTCGTACCTCGTATCAAGGTGATGTGCCAACAGCAACAACTGTCAACAATGTAACACATAATCCAAGCACGTCCACAGACCTCCGTGTAGGTACTGTAGCGTTAGCATCATCGGTAGCTTCCTCTGTAGCAAAATATTTGGTGCTTACCAATTTATTCCCTGGGCCAATACCTCAGGTGTCAGTTTACCCTCCTAACAACAAAAATGCTGGGGTTGGTAAGGTTCAAACTACAAAAGAATCAGCTGTTTTATTAAACCAGGATGTAGCACTTACTTTCACTGGACCTAACCAAACTTCTACATCACAACAGCAAACATCTGTTAGTAGAAGTAGTCAGCAAAATACTCTACAATCTGTTCAGGTTTGTTTTTCTAGGTTGCATGCTTGGCTTTATTATATATAATATATATATTATATATATATATATATATATATATATATATATATATATATATATATATATATATATATATATAAATGGTATACAAAATATTTTTATTGCAATTAGTATTTTATTTACAACTAGTTTCAATGCTGTGGCTATTTTACAAACAATTATTACACATTACTCTTAATATTTAATCTATGTATAATTTTGTTTGTTTGAGAATTATATAACCATGCTTGCTAGTGATTAAATATATATGTAAAGTGAAGTCAAATTAATAAAGATGTAGTATGTAATAATGCAATAAATAACATAATATAACTCCTTAGTAGAAAAGTAAACTTACAAAAACACTATTACAATCTAGGTTCCAGTCTCTCTTCCAGGGCTGAATCTTGATGGAGCTCATTTACAAACGCATCTACAAGCCGTGCATGCTCAAGTACAACAACAACTACAGAATCAACAGCAACAACAACACCAACAACAACAAGCACAATTGTTGCAGCAGGTTCAAGCCCTGCAGCAAATTCAAAATCATCAAAATGTTCAAAACTCAGTACAGGCCAACCAAAATCAGAGTTCATCCAGAGATAATAAATCCAAGGTTGAACAACCTGATAACCAAGGACATCCCCATGTAAATAACGACCATCATCAACAAGCTCAGGAATTGCAGCAAAGTCTGATACATCAGCAGCAACAGCAGCAACAAATTAATGTTACCATTGGTGGCGGTACTACTGATAATGCCAATCCCAGTGAAAAAATTGAAAAGAAAGAGGAGATACGCCAGCTAAATATGGCTCAGTAAGTTAGGAAAAAGTAAATTTCATATAAAATTAGTTTTTTTTACTAATTAAGTTGGATTTTTGAATATTTTTCTTAGATTTCAAGTGCCTGACTTAAAGCCAGGGAGTCATATGATGGACATTCGAACTGCGGATGGTTCAATTGTGAAAATTAGTGCTGCAAGTGATCCTGATCTCGCAAAAACTTTAGGCGTTGATATATCTCAGTACATCAACAAGGTAAAATTTTGAATCAAGACCCTCAGAAAATCTCATAATATAAAACAATGTTTGGTTAAAAATAGGGAACAGTGAACGTCGAGGAATTGAATCAAATAAATCAACTGCTGGCATACCATGAAGTTTTTGGCAAGTTACAGAGTGATTTAGCCGCAGGAACACCTTTGATAGGAAGTACAGTGCCAACACAAACTGTTACAACGATACAGAATGGCACTCCGATCGTGCAGCAAGTACAACTCAATAAATTTGAAATAAAAACGAGTGACGGTGAAGCTACACCTGGTCCAAGTGGATCGCCTGTTTCTGTAGGCAGTCACGCCTGTGAAGTCTGCGGCAAAATCTTCCAGTTCAGATATCAGTTGATTGTACATCGAAGGTACCACACCGAAAGAAAGCCTTTTACTTGTCAGGTAATTGTTAAATGTTGGTACATTGTTGGCGGTTCTTAAAAACGGTAAAACTTATGTCGATTTAATTTTAAAAAGGTTTGCGGTAAAGCATTCACTACTGCAAACGACCTTACACGTCATGGAAAGTGTCATTTAGGAGGTTCCATGTTTACTTGTGCCGTATGTTTCCACGTTTTTGCGAATGCACCTTCATTGGAACGACACATGAAACGTCATGCTACAGATAAACCATATAACTGTACAGTTTGCGGTAAAAGTTTTGCAAGGAAGGAGCATCTCGATAATCATACGAGGTGTCATACTGGCGAAACGCCGTATAGGTGAATATTAAATTAATATAAAACAAATAAATATAAAATAAATTTTTTAATCGGGGAGATGAAGAATACTAATGCTTATATCATCTATCAGATGTCAATACTGTGCAAAAACATTTACCCGTAAGGAACATATGGTCAATCACGTAAGGAAGCACACAGGAGAAACACCTCATAGGTAAGAAATCTATTTTGTTTTGTAATTTTTTAAACAAAAATTTGAAAAAAATGAACTTGTTTTATGAAATAAATATCAAAGAGTAAGATAAAAATAAGTCTTTATTTTCGCGATTACTCTTTCCAACTGTGCTAACAATAACGTTGAAAATATCTTTTCAGGTGTGACATTTGCAAAAAGTCATTTACTAGAAAGGAGCACTTCATGAACCACGTTATGTGGCATACCGGCGAAACACCTCACCATTGTCAAGTGTGCGGTAAAAAGTACACACGCAAGGAACATCTTGCCAATCACATGCGTTCGCATACCAATGACACGCCTTTCCGCTGTGAAATTTGTGGTAAAATTTATTTCCAAAATATTAGTTTTATAAAAATTACGTAATAATAAAGGGTTAACAAAAAATTCACTTGACCTGTAAATTGAAAAACTAGTTTTCCTATTTGATTTAGGAATAAGGCAGATTAGCATAATTTCGTTAAAGGAAACCTATTTATCATGGGAACACAAAAAGACATTCCTAACAAAAGACTTAGGTAGAGATAACTTATAAGAATTTTCACTTCCGGGGATTATACACCAGAAAAATATCCCACTGCTAAAGTACCATAACCAATCTTTCTTTCAAGAAACTACCTGTCGGTCGAGCATATTGAATTTTAGATAAGTATATTTGTAGGCTTGTCCTCTTGGCTGTATACCTGCTTCTTTTGTTTGGAAGATACCGTAAGATAGGCTAGCTCGACAGGTAGCCACTTGTAAAACTTGAATGCCCCGGGCTGCAGGTATAATACAATTGTATCTGTTTGAGTAGTTAGAACAACAGTTTTTCAATGAATGGTGTTTATGATCCCATTTTAAAAACAAATGCCTAATTTTCAATAAAAGGATATAATTGTGACAACCATGATATTTGTCTTTATTGTATATATTTTTTCAACACTCTGTGCGGAAAGTGCGTTTTTCCCGCACGCTCGGCATAAAACGTGCTTTGAAAATCGCACTTTTCACACGTCGTATCAAAAAATACGGTACGGCAGATGTTCAGGAAACAGTTTCTCGTCTCGTGTACCTTTCCACCCTCGCTTCGCTCGGGCGTAAACGCCACACGTGACAAGAATCTATTTTCCTCGCATTTGTATCGTAATGTACTATACTATATATTGTCACTCTTGGTTCCCTTGATGTATATGTTTTAGAATTCATATTGAAAGTTATTCAATAAATTTTAATAATATGAAAACAAAAATTTTCTCGTAAAACTAACAAGTTATTATTTTTTTAGGAAAATCATTCACGCGCAAGGAACATTTTACGAACCATATCATGTGGCATACGGGCGAAACTCCTCATCGGTGTGATTTTTGCTCGAAGACATTTACTCGTAAGGAGCATCTACTGAACCACGTGAGGCAACACACGGGTGAGAGTCCGCACCGCTGTAACTTTTGTTCGAAATCATTTACGAGAAAGGAACACCTCGTTAACCACATCCGCCAACACACAGGTGAGAGCGGTTGGCAGAGATGTTCACTTCGGTTCACACAACTATATACTTACTCTCAGACTTGTCAACTCTTCTTTTTTTTATTGTTCTATGTTGCATTCCATCCGCTTTGTTTCATTTCATCCATACTCGCTTGGTTTTTTGTAACAATCCACCAATGTACCTTATGCCCATCAACTTACTTTATTCTTACCCCCTTCGTTTTTTCAATACTATAATGAATGTCACAATTCTGCCTGTACACCGCTCTCATTTGCTTAGTCATTTATTTTTTTATATCCACACTTACGCAGTTTATTAATGTCGCTATTTCATACGTATATTGTACTTTATATGTATTTTTTCACATCTCATACGTGCTTCTGTTCTTTATTGACCAACTAATAATCGTTACGTGATAAAAGTGAACATTCATAATAAATTATTTCTCTGCAACATGCAATTTATAAAAATCAATTGGTGAAAACATTAACAAACTGCTCTTTCCTTGTTAGATATAAACTTATTAGAAGCTAGTCTGTGATATAAACTGCTTTTATTTGAATAATTTATAAAAATTTGTCTAAAGAAAAATTGTCAAAGCTTTATATCATAGATTTTCTTTGAATGCAATATACGAAGATGGCAAGTGTTTTCTTGAGAAAAAAAAAACAATGGCACAAAACATCACGTTGATATTATACATGAAACGCACTTGTACATTATCATTTTTAACATACCACTACACTGGCAGATATAATTACATAGCGATATTGCATCATTTTGCTAAAATTTTGTGACTAAAGAATTCACAGAAATCGAAGTATTTGTAAATAAATAATACAAAAAAAAAGTTAACAGCCACAATAGCAATATTATTTTGTTTTGCTTTGTGATATTTCGATTATTAAACAATTTTATACATGCTAACGATTTGTTCACTTGTAATATACACTGCCATTTGGTGTATTGCATCGGGTAAAACTCGCCTTGTGCAGGTAATGCCTCGTGTCTGTGTAATATTGGGAAGATAATAATTATGATAAGAAATAGTTCACTTTGTACATTTGTAAAAAGTGTATTATATGCAAAATATTTTTATTTCAACATCGTTTTAAAACATATGAGGGAAATTTTATCGTCGAACTGTCCGTTACTAATCAAGTTTCGTTCAAAGTGAGCTTTTCTCAAGCTGAACGAGAATATAACTGTAACGTGTGGCAATGACCATGAACGATACACTTGTCATTCTCCTCAGTCAAGTGAATGTCTTAGAATCAAGTACAAATTAAGAGATCTGAAAAAAGCATGAAGGAAAAAAGAAAACAAAAAAGCAAGTAAAAAATGAAATTTAGGAGAGACGCCCTTCCGATGCCAGTACTGTCCGAAAGCGTTCACGCGCAAGGACCACCTGGTGAATCACGTAAGGCAGCACACGGGTGAGTCACCCCACAAGTGCCAGTATTGTACGAAATCGTTCACGCGCAAGGAACACTTGACGAATCACGTGCGTCAACATACAGGCGAAAGTCCACATCGCTGCCATTTCTGCAGCAAGTCCTTTACCCGTAAAGAACATCTTACAAATCACGTGAGGATCCATACCGGAGAATCGCCACATCGCTGTGAATTCTGCCAGCGTACCTTCACTAGAAAAGAACATCTAAACAATCATTTGAGACAGCATACTGGTGACTCCTCTCACTGCTGTAATGTCTGCAGCAAGCCTTTTACCAGAAAGGTAAACTATTTATACATTTTTTAATAAGTGCTAATTTAGGTGTACAAAATAAATTAAAAATTTTGTAACGAAAATTAATGTATATTTTATAGGAGCACCTTATAAATCACATGCGCTGCCACACCGGTGAACGTCCATTCGTGTGTACAGAGTGCGGCAAAAGTTTCCCATTGAAAGGCAACCTGCTCTTCCATATGCGCTCACATAACAAAGGTAGCCAAGCCGAGCGTCCGTTCCGTTGCGATCTCTGCCCCAAAGATTTCATGTGCAAAGGCCACTTGGTGTCGCATCGACGATCGCATTCTGACGAACGGCCACATCGCTGTCCCGACTGCGATAAAACGTTTGTTGAGAAAGGCAACATGTTGCGGCATCTTCGCAAGCACGCTGCCGAGGGCCCACCGACACAAGTTGCAGGAGCTTTAACGCAACAACAAGTTCCTTCTACCGCTACCGCTGCTGCAGCCGCTGTACTTGTTGGACATCCTTTGGCACAGCCTAGTGCTCCGCTTCCTCAACATACCGTTGTTGTGCCCACCCCACCAGGAGTGCTTGCCACGTATTGATAGGCTGCGTGCGGAATTCTGTACTAGTGAAAAGCTTTTGATGTCGTTTCGACGTCGGAGAACTTGACGGATTTTACAGCTTACTAAATTACATGCTATTGAACCAACAGTTTGGTCACTTGTTTCATTATATATTTTTAACGAATTTAGAGTTATTGTCAGGGGTGTGCGAATAAATGCTTTTTTTTCTTTCGCTGTCATATTAGAACGTAAAAAATGAACGTTCTTTAGCATAAATACTTCTTTCTTATTTTGTTTAACTAAGCTAACAATTTTTTCATTTGCATACCCCTAGTTATTTGACGTCACAATGTTGCGGACAAAAATTTTTTTGTAATAGTAATTACATCCGTATTTTTTTGTTAAAATTTTATTTACAGTTATATTAATATTTATTGTCTTCATTGATCAGGTGATATGTTGACTCGTAATTATTTGAAGAAATTATCAGTTTAAAACTTTGAATACCAATATGATTTGTTGTATATTTATTGTTACTTTTCATAGTAAACAATGAAAAAAAAATGAGAATGATCGTGACCGTATTAAATAAATAAATGTAGCTAATTAAAATAAAGTGAAGAGGCATTACGAATAAAAGTGCTGGTATATACCTGATATGAAATGAAGCAAAATTATTATTTTTAGATATAAGTATCGATAATTGAAAAGCGTACTATAACATACAGACAACATTTTACAGATTTATTAATTTGACCATTAAATTGAATATCATTAAATTTGAAACGTAATTTACTTGTACTATTTTTCAAAATATCACTGAATTATCCATTTTTTAATGGTTGCATCAACTGTTGCCTTCCTTCTGAACGAAGAATTCTGCAGAATTCAATGAAAAAGTAATTTTTTCAAACTAAATTAAACGATCTGTGATTGCAGGTAGTTTAGATTCTTATCAGTTTTGCGTAAATTTTTACAAACTATTTACTTGAGCGACATGTCTACGTCTGATATATTTTCTATTACATGCATATATGCGTAAATGCATAGAATGTTCCTAACAATACCTAGGAAAATTAAATACAATTGAACATTTTCTCACAGTTATTATTTGTATCTACGGAACCTTTAGTTTCCAAGCGTTGTAATTAACCTGGGCAAGTTATGAATGTAAGAGAACAATCTTACAAATGAAATCTGCAGTATCAATGAGTTACCGTTGTTTGCACTTAATTTTATAAGCACTTTCCAAACTAAAAATAGTATGATGATTTCAACAGCAATTGTGGTGACTACTCGAATATATTTCACTTGGTCAGTGATAGAATATATACTACATTTTTCTGAATATCTCCAATCTGTTTTTGTAGTGAAAAGGAAACCATCAAATTAGCATTAATCTTATACTGAGAATGCTTTTTTAAACATTAGCATGCTCTAACCAACAAAATATTTCAATTTATCAAGTAAGGTAATCTTGAAAATAACCAGACTCACCTTGAAAATAATTTTATAATTTACAGGTGTTATGCTTACAAGTTAGAATGAACGTTTTGATTTGTACAGACAAAAAAGTAAACATAAAATAATGTGTCTTTAAATAGCTTTTTAGAACATAAAGGAACCAAATAAAATTTTAACATCACTTAATTGATATAATGATATCGAGTTCATATTGCGACCAGTAGTTTGTATTTTGCACTTTTCATAAATTAGCATTGTACGTAACAAAGGCAACATGCGATTGTAAAAAAGACAAATAAAATATCGACGCAAATAAAAGAAAGATTAGAGTTAGGAATACATTATGTGTTGTATAAGGATAAAAATATTTTATTCAAATAAGAACGATTCAAAGAAGTACTTCTTTTACACATTTTTGTACAAGATTTAAAAGGAATATCATAAGTCATCGTGTAGATATGTACTCATTTTGAAGTACCGAACGTTATATAGTAATTGTTTTTAATTTTTTTTTAATCTTGTAACTTACCGTTATCTGTTTTATTTTACGAGTGCAATATAACTGCATTATTTCGTTTGTATGCAACTTTGGTGTAAAATTGAGTTGTATTATATAACATTGAATTTAAAAATTTTTATACTTCAGAACATTGAACGTTGGATTACGAAACTCAATTTTAGACATTAAAATATCGTTTCAAATGAAAAATTAAATATTTTATATCTTTTGTAAAAGATTCTAAATTCTTTCAACCATTTAGAATTTTACTATAAAATTTATCTGGCTACTTGGTATTATCATTTAGTAATTTATATGCTTATTACTTAGTATTAAGTAGAGTACTTTTTTACTCGAAATGTGCATGTAAAATGGTTTTCAATTTTACCTTGAATTAGTCCATGATTTTCAAAATTATTTAAATCATGTGAGTATATTTAATACGAAACTCTAATATAAGTAACAAAAACTGAAAATTCACGTGCAAAACGCTCAATGTCATAACTGAAATTGTTAGCGGAATATGTAAACTGAAAAGAAAATGAAATTTTAGTATCAAGCCTAAAGTTAAATTTATAATCATACTGCATATTAAGTGATAATGAAAGATAAGTATAAAGGCAGATGACTTTATTACAAAGATAACGTTCTAGAAACACAATCTTCACTCTCTCTAGCTAAAAATTTAGATTTATGTACAATATATTATGAATATTGCTATTGTATATTCACTGAACGATCATAACAGGCAATTTGAAACAGAACAAATTTGTAAAAACAAAAATGCAATGGACTATTGAGACAAGCAGATAGCGCATCTACTTTAGAAGTATCTATGATATAAAAAGCCATATATATATACATATATATATATATACTCTGTATTTTAACAGAGTATTAAATAATCAATACACCGAAATAAACGTATAATAAGCGAATAGTGTAGCGGAAGCACACTCGAAACAGATGATTATATATGTATAATATATATAGAGCGAAAGCTCGTATACATTATGTGTATATACCGGTTTAGTGTAAGCAAGAATTGAAAAAAGGCGACTCCAAAGTTACGTCCTCCTCATAGCGATGCAACCAACACTTAAAAATCACAACATCATGGATTTACTATTACCTCCTAAAAATGAAAAGTTTGGAGTCACTTTTTCCAGCGGAGCTATAAAACTAATCGTAAGAAAACATAAAAGCTGTAATGAAAATATATTAGAGATAATGTTTATATGAATTATTACAATTAAAATATTATTATGATATGTTACAAGTGTATAATTAAAAGTTTGTTTATGCTTTGGAGGAATTTTAATTTTCCGCTTGTTCTAAAAGCATAAGAGTAAAATGACAAACCCAAATAACTTAAGATATAATTTTTTCTAAATCAAAGCAAAACTTTTTTGTTTATTTGATTATTTTATATTGTTTAATTTTATTTTATTTTGTCAAGAGAACACTTTTTTGTAAAAAAAAGTTTGTAGCTTACTAATGATGCTTTGATTTAGAAAGAAATTTTAGGGAAAAATAGCATAAATCATTTATAATTTACCTTTTATTAGAAAAAAAGATGGAAAAAAACATAGAATTTTATTATGCACCGTTGTAATATTCTGTATCCCAGTTTTGACACAATATACACTGGTGTTATGTTAAATGTGAGAATGTGGTGTTTTTTTCCTTATTCAATTCTGATGTGAGCTTCGCCAAATCTTTGTATGAAAGATATTTTTTCGAAAGCTATTAGTACAATACAAATGTATTTGAAATTTACTTTGTAATTATAGCTTTACTGTGGATAACAAAGAAATAAATATCAAAACTGTGAATTGATAGAAATATTTCATTTTTCTAATAAAAATAATTTTTTCACTCTAATTTATTAATTACCATTTTTATTGTTTAATTTTACAAATTTTGGTCAAGTAAGACATACTACACATGTATATACATACAATCAAAAAGAGGTTTATTATTTTAAATATTGCGCGGATATACAACGTTTAAAAATGTTTCCGCAGAGAGGCGTAACAGGACCGCTATAGCTACTATCAATACTATCAATAATCTGGTAATGTATTTTTTTGACCGATGCGAAAACAGCCCAACACAAATAACATTCTATAAAAAAAAATGATCACATCTCACGTATGTCTAATTGTACTTCTCGAAAAAATAATTATTTGTTATTGTACCATATATTTCTCATAAAAAATACAAAATATCGTTATCGATAATTCACCTCCTATTTATTCACATAAAAGACATAATTAAGCAAAAATAAATTCACAGAAAAATTGTACCTTCTGTAGTCTAAATTGTACCATCAGTACAATTCTATAAATTTGTTTCTAAAAGAAATAATAGGACAATTACAAAGCTCTACGCCTGCGCAAAGTGCATTTCCGGATGACATCCTTGTAAGTTGTAACAATGAGTGGTAATTTGTAATTGTCCTGTTATTTCTTTTAGAAACAAATTTATAGAATTGTACTAATGGTACAATTTAGACTATAGAAGGTACAATTTTTCTATGAATTTATTTTTGCTTAATTATGTCTTTTATGTGAATAAATAGGAGGTGAATTATCGATAACGATATTTTTTATTTTTTATGAGAAATATAATGGTACAATAACAAATAATTATTTTTTCGAAAAGTACAATTAGACATTTTTTTGTGATCATTTTTTTTATAAAATATTATTTGTGTCGGGCTGTTTTCGCATCGGTATTTTTTTGAGTTGTTAAACTATTATCTATCTATCGCACATACTATGTACAAACTGTAATACTATAGTCTGTACACTATATGTGTGTGTGTTTGTATGGACTTCACACTCAAACTTTTATCCTACGTAATTAATGTTTTTTTTAATTTATATATATACATATATATATATATATATATATATATATATATTCAATACAGAGCTAGGAGAGTCATAAACTTTAATCATGTGTCAATAACACAATAAAAGTCAGATTATATCAACCAGAAGTGTCTGATTTACGTGATGTTAAAGTTAATAGGTTAACCTATAGATATCTCAATATTTTACGCAGATTCAACTGCTGTTACCATCATGAGTGACATTTCGCAATCAGAATCTTACGAAAACCGTATGTACAGCATTATTAAATTGTAGATGTCAAATATTTTTAATTGTTCACTAACACGTTTTTTTATATCATTGTAGATATACGCATTAACACCCACAGTACAGGTTCCGATGGTGATAATAAATTAGAACCCTCTAGTCCTGTAGATAGACATACATTTTCTAGATGCAGCAGTACAGGTTCTGTAAATACTCCTTCTTCATCTGCTCATAATACTGGTCAGTTGCTTGATTACATATATATATATATATATATATATATATGTTTATTTATACATAACATATGTTATTGATTTTTAATTTTAATTTATCATCATGCATCTATCACTAGAGGATGAAGACAGTGATAATAAAAGTTCAACGATAAGTTACAAAGAAAGACGTAGGGAAGCTCATACACAAGCAGAGCAAAAACGAAGAGATGCTATTAAAAAAGGATATGATACCCTTCAAGATCTTGTACCAACATGTCAACAAACAGATCCTTCTGGTTATAAATTATCAAAAGCAACTGTTTTACAGAAATCCATTGATTACATTCAATTTTTGTTACAACAAAAGAAAAAACAAGAAGAAGAACGAAATGCTCTGCGTAAAGAAGTTATTGCTCTTAGAATAATGAAAGCCAACTATGAGCAGATTGTTAAAGCTCATCAGACACAGCCTGGACACTCGGAAACATGTGTTTCAGATGAAACTAAATTCCAAGTGGTAACTAACTGATATTATAGAATGTTTTAATAAATTTCATTATCTGATATACAAATATTTTGTTTAATTTTTTGCTATCAGTTTCAGGCTATTATGGATCGCTTGTTTCAAACTTTTGACAATGTATCAGTTGCTAATTTTGCTGAATTATCAGCTTGTGTTTTTACTTGGCTTGAAGAGCACTGTAAACCACAGGTAATATTATTTATGAACAAAATAATAATTTATTTCATACATTAAAAATTGAATTATTCTTGCAGACTCTTAGAAATGTGGTCTTGTCTGTCTTACAACAACTCAATAATCAAATCAGCTAGTGGATCAAAATATCCCTAACTTATCCTTCAGTCGGATTTCTTATAGAAATCAGCTTATAAAGTACAAATGAGAAAATATTATTCTTTAAGTTTATGAAATTTGAAATATTTCAAAGTAGTTGAAAATAATGTACCATTGTGTCAAAATTTTATTAAACTATTTTTTATTACATGTGACTAGTTTTGATAATAAACTTATTTAAAACTTGATGTTTCCAATATTTTTTTATTATTTATAAGTGAAACATGAGTACAGTTATAACTGAACTGAGCCATTGGTATATTTTTATTAAATAGTAGCTATCCCTTGCTTCGGCCGCTACTGCAGCCACAAATAAGTCAATTTATAGACTTTATAAAGCAAAAATAAAAACAATGAGTAATTTTAAACTGTGCACCCCAACAATATCAGTTTGTTCATTTAGAACAAGTTTGAAAAAAAATAGTGAAAAGTTTGAAAAAAAGAAATAATTCAACGCGCACGGATCGACAACGTTAGAGATACTCCGGATTTCCTAATTGACGGGTTTTTAAATAGTTGATACTTGTATCGATATTATACCAATTTATTCTTGTTGACTTTTGTTATTTATTGTTTCTAAGTTCACGTTATTATAAAAATAAATAACCTTTCATTCTGCAATTTACTTAAGTTCTTAAACGTAATAACTTATTGCAATTGAAAACAAATAATACGATTTTAATGCAATTTTCATTTATTTAAGGTATACTTACTTTTTTCAAATAATTAGTTAATAGATACTACGTTACTAAAAAAATAGTGTTAATATTATAACATATAAGTTATGCTCAGAAAACACAAAATTGTAATAATCTCAAAAGAATAAATAATGAAGTACAGTAGATAAAGTAAACCGTTAATTAAAAAAATCGTCAAGATCGCTTTCCAAAAGGACTTGATGAACTTTAATTACTTCACGCAAGCATTGCTTTTGTCGCTGATCGACATTTTTCCGATCCACAATATTATTCACATAATCAATACATATTTTCATTGTTTGATGTTTGCAGTTTCGATAAATATGGGTATTAACATTACAAAGCGTTTGCTTACTAAGATCATAGAGCTAGTAAGTATTATTTTGTACATTTATAGTAAATATGAAACTATAAGTTTGATTTTAAATAAATAATGATGAAAATTAATAATGTAACATTGTTAGTTTTTTTGAATAATTAGTTAATGTTAAAAAACTGTGTGCTGTCATAATTTCTTATTACCTTATTAATTTACTAGAAATCTTGTTATTTTCTCAAAAACAATATGCAACCTTACTACGGATTCTTCGCAGTGGAATTTGTTTTTACCGAAAATATTGAAGTTCATTGTTCTGGAATGATTACAGGTTAATCAAATTTATATAGGTATTGACATGCATTCTCTTGGGACTTTTATTCCACACAACTTGGGATTATAATCAAGATCATGACTTTTTGGAGTCTGGAACTTATTTTGGCTATCTTATTATTGTGACTGGCCTTTTGTTAGGAGAAATAATGGGCACTCCCGTCGACAAATTAATCGTAAATATGTTGATTTAGCTATTATTTTAATTTGATTTTCTACTAAGTCATATCCAACAAAAGTTTTAATACAAATTCATGTATCTTCACAGGATATATTCTTCTCCGCAGTTGGTTGTGCATTTTTTATAGCTATAGGTTTAATATACATTCAATCACCATACAACTATTTGGAAAAAAATACAATTAAGGGTGCGCTCTCTATCATCAACGGTATTATCTTCTTAATTGACGCTGTCCTGTATTTTCTAGATAAATGAAATGGTATCAATTAACTTTAATTTGAATACGAATAAGGTTTTTATTCGTATATTATATATCATATTATATTTGATTATAAATAAGACTAAACTCACGACCTTTCTATTTGATTTTTTGGCTAAAGAAAATTGATTTCAAAGCAGCGTTCTCAAAAATAGAACGTTCTATATAGATATCACATTCCTACGATTACGATCGATGTTATCGAAATATCTGTCACATTCAATATCCATACTGTCATATTGATCATCTTTCTATGATAATGATGCAATAGAATGCAATAATATTTTTAATTTTCAAGAGATTGGTTCCAATCTTAGAAACTTGCTATTTAACAATAACTTTTTATAATTTTGCATTTTTAGATTAAAAAGAACAGAATAATTTGAATTCAGTATTTAAAACTTTCTTAATGTTGCAGCTTTTAAAAGGTTTATACAAGAAAATTTATTCTATCACTTTACATAATTCAATATTCATTGTACATTTTCTGTTCTATACGGTTGATTTACGATTGCGCGTCATTTTTGGCCATATTGCACTTAAAAGAGGACTTTTGGAGAGACACATGCTAAAACTTATAAAGACCAGAGTCTCTCGTACCCCACAGATAAGTTCTAATGAGTAATTCTGAATAAACGCGAATTTATCTTCTTTTCAAATTTTCTTGAATTTTAAATATAAAATACCAACTGATTTCTTTTAAAAATATTTTTTATTCAAGTTAAAAATATATACAATTTATTGTTGATTATACTAGTATAATTTCTCAATTCATTGGAAAATAACAGGTTTGAAAATTTTATAACAAAACGAAGTTTGTCATGAAAAATTAAATAGCAAATCTGTCAAGTATGACGAAAGGGAAATTATCTGCAACAACTTTAACGATTGTAGCAAATGAAATTTGTAGTACGATTTGTCTGTCAAAAAGACAAATATTAACATTAAAAAATACTAATGAATGACAAAATATAACGTCCAATCAGCCTTAATACTTGTTTTCTTATATAACGTCAATAAAAGTAAATTTAATAAAAATCTTCTTGCGCTGTAGTCGTTTTTGTAGACGTTTGATTCCTTATTTGTTCTTGGCTTAAATACATATCAGCGATTTGTCGTGCAGATGTTGCATCCTCGCAATTTTTATCATCTCTGATTCTGATAAATCTAGGGAACCTTAGTGAAATACCTTTTTCTGGATCGATAATACCTTTAGCTGCCATATGAACTGGTGAAATCGACATATCAGCGCACTTGACTTCCCAGACAAGTTTAGGTTCGAACCAGTGATCAGGTTCAAGACTGGAGTCGTATCGGTAGTAGGATTTGACCTGCTCAACGACTAACTCTTTCAAAGCCTCAGTATGCTTTGCTAGGTCTTCTTCACTAAAACCAGTGCCAATTTTGCAAATACTCTGATACTCTTCGTTCTCCTGGTCATAGCAGCCCAACAGAAAACCTCCGTACGTACCAGTTCGCTTGCCTTTACCTATATAACCACCAATAACGACCAAATCTAATGTATCTCCAACACCTTCCAAGTAGTCTTTCTTCAATTTAAGCCAATTTCGAGAACGTTTGGCAATCTCGTATGTAGCTTCTTTCTCAAGTGTTTTTATCATTAATCCTTCGCAATTTCCTTTGATAGACTCGTCGAGGAATGTTTGAACTTCATCCATGGTTTGGACGTCAAGGCTTTTAGCGAACCACCACTCACCTTCAATTTCCTTAAAGTAAGTTTTCAACAGATCTCGGCGTTTCTGTAAAGGATGCTCAACCATAGCTTCTCCGTTGAAGTATAAAAGATCGAACATGAAAACACACACTTGGACTTTGATTTCAGTCTCATTTGCGTCTTTGCGTTTCCTTGTGCTAAGCACTTGGAATGGCAGAATTTGCTTGTTCTCCTTGTCCCAGGCGACAGCCTCACAATCAAGTATACAACTTTTGACTTCTTCGCTTCGGGTATTTGGAACACGACTGATTATGTCGGGATATTTGCTAGTATTATCTTCTTGATTTCGACTGTATATCCTCACCGAGCCGTCCTCTAAAATGTGAATCTGTGCTCTTTCTCCATCATATTTGTACTCACATGTGAACTTCATACCTTCGAAGCGCGTTAATACTTCTTGTATACCTTTAGTTGGGTGAGCCAACATAGGTTTGAGTGGAATACCTGGGGTGAGCTTACACTCATTTGGTAATTCTTCAATGCCTTTCTTTAAGAGCACTGGAATGATCTTATCATAATTTGGACATTGACAGTAAGTTGTTTTAAGTATCAAAGCCAATTCATCATATTTCTGCTTGAAAGTTTCACTGGAAATTCCTTTTGATGCATTCAGTACTTCAAATGGTCGTTCTTGTTGTGGAGGGGTCATTGCGCAAGCCTGAGCCAAAGCTTGCAAAACTGATTGCTCAGCTAAGCCAATTCTAAGCTTTCCAGCCAATGATCTGATTAAATATCGAGCTTCAGAAAAACGGCAAGCTACAAACAAAGATTGTATTTTGTCTATCTTTTTCATTCCAGAATTTGTTCCAGTAGTTAAGGCAATCTCTTTTAGTTTTGTGTAGACATTACTGACAGTCAATGATGCAGGCTGAAACATCATTTTTTGATTTGACTTACTTCCTTCTGCAATTATTCCTGAAACATAAATATTTTATTTAAGCAACATGATCACTCATAATAATAACATGAGATGATTTTAAATTTAACTTACCCAAATCACCGACTTTCTGCATTTCAGCTTTGATTTGAATAAGAGTTCTGCCAGTTGAACTGGCAATAGCTTTCATTAAATTAGTGTCTGCTATTCCCAACTCCAATCCTTCATAAGCTGGTCCAAGTTGATTTAAGCAGAGGTAAATACTTGGAAGTAGATCATCAGGATTCAAAGCAATTACAGAACGGAAGTAATTGGACAGTATTTCAACTATTTTTAATCGAGCACTAATACCTTCAATCAGCTCAAACGTTTTTGTTAATGCTAAATATGGAACTTTCTGTCCTTCTTTCCAGAAAGCATCATTTATTGGATGATATGATGATTTATCTGGGTTATAGTCAAGACTTTCATTTGTTGTCTTTGCTTTTCCAAACATAGCAGCTGTATTAGAACCTTGTTTTTTCATTGTTGGTGATTCCTTTTTCTTTTCTTTCTCTTTATTGTCACTATTCTCATCAGTCTTCGTTTCTGGAGATTCACTTCCCTCTTTAAGTTCGTTTTTTTTTTTTAGTGGTGAAGAATCTGTTATAGTATTTTTTGTTATTTTTGGATTTTCATTAACAACTTCATCATCAGTATCGTTGTCCTCTTTAGATTTTCCATTACTAGTTGCTTCTTTTGATTTCTCAGATGATGGAGACTTCACTGATTTTTTCTTATCACTAACTTCATTTTGTAATTTCTTTGATGATGATTTTTGTTTTAACTTTCCATCATTTTCAACTTCTTCTGATTTATTAGATGATATAAACTTTTCAGAATTCTTGTCAGCTTTCTTGTTTTCAGCTGATGGACTTTTATCTTTACTCTGAGACTTGGATTTAGCTTTTTTATCCATTGATTTCGCCTCTTTAGGACTGTTTGTTTTTTTTGCTTTTTCTTTTAAGTCATCATTTTTACTTTCTTGATAACAAAAGCTTTTCAACTTTTTTGATGTTATAGACTCATTTAAGTCAATCTCTTTTTCTTCATTATCACTTTCATCTTGATTGTCTTCTCTATTTGTAATGCTGGAATCTGTTAAATCTTCTTCATCTTTACTTTTATCATTATCAATCTTATCATTTTCATCAGAATCATCATCAATACCATTTCTTAATTTCTTTGTTTCATTAGATTCCTTTGACTCTGTAGTACTTTTACGCTTTCCACCTGCGTTGACATGCTCCTCATCTGATGAAGTGTCAGAGTCAACAATATTTTTGAGTCTACTATAAACTTTGGACACTACTTTCTTATTTTTATTTCTAGTAGGTCGTTCAATAGCTTCTTCCTCCTCTTTTTCTGACGAAGCATTTTCATCATTATCTTTCAAAATTGCAGGTGATGATTCTGATTCACTTTCTGTATCTTTTTCTTTATTAATATGCTTTTTCTTACCTTTAGCAACACTGTTACCTTTAGATTTTCGCTCAACTAGCGATTTTTTAACATTACTTGTAGATTTTCTCCGTTTTTCTTTAGGTTCAACTTGCTTCTCCTTTTTGCTCGTTCCATTAGCAGTAGATTTTCGTGATGAAGGAGACTTTTTCACTTCGGTACTTTTGTCTCTTTTACGTTTTCCACTGGACACATCATTTTTCTCTAATGATTTATCACCTTGTTTAGCATCTTCGCTTTCTTTTTTATCATTTTTTGAATTTAAAACCGTAAAAAACGACGTGATGCTTCTTTGAGACATTTTCGCGCCAAATGACAGTTTTCACCAGATTGGCAGGTTTTCACTTGTTTTCAGGTTATGTTTTCAGAATTTGGCGCGCTGACCTTTCTGATGGGAAATGCTATAGTGTTGAGATATGAAGACTATACTATAATATTTATTCGTGGCCACGGTAGTAGTCGGGGCATGTACCGATTCGAAGGCCTGAAATTTCTGGAAGCCTACTACTACCAACCACTATATCTAAAGGATTTGATGAGATATTTTTCACTTTTGATGTTTTACATAGTTAAAATTTTAGTAATATGTATCAAAATACTTATTTATACTCATTGTAATATAATTGCATAATTTAAGTAAAAAAATGCATTGAAAATAGTTTTTTTTTATATAACTTAATTACCGATTTAGGCTAAATGATCGAAATGCATATCAGCACTTTTTTCCTTCACTATCTTATTTCCACATCATTATTTTCTTTGGTCATCAAATATGCGAATATCCTAATCGACCAATTGCATGTTCCATAAAAATTTATATATTCATATAAATAAAGTGTAATAAATAACCGAGAAAATTAACTTTTAAATGCTTCTATCAGTATCACTGCGCTATCAAAATAATAATAATATAGTTATCTTACTTGCTTCATGTCTGTTATGTTTTTGATCGTGTTATGGTTTGTGTGTGTGAGTGCCAAATAATTATCTAAGTTATATTATAGGAACATTGATGATATACGTTTGTCTTGCTTATTCTGACAAAGTTGAATTAAGCAAGTATGTCTTTTCATTCGTTGTCAATTAATACTTTTTGTGTTAATAGAAGTTATGTACAATAATACTATTTCAGATTCAAGACAACTCGTCGTTAATACTTTTTGTGAAAATAAATTCAGGAATGTAGTGCGATATCTCATTTATGTATCGGCTACAAGCGTTTCTTTATTTTGTATTTTTCATCTGCTATACAACAGTATTTGCTTTAAGTATTATGTTTACACATTTTTTGACAGTCAGGATTATATTCGTCGTCAAAACTTTTTCTGAAAATAAATTCACGAATGTAGTAATATCTAACGAATATAATCCTGAATATGAAAAGGTATATATAATTCAATTTATGCATAAGATTTTAACATTTTTTTATTCAAAACACGTAAATAATGGAAAATATTAATGCAACGGTAAATACAATACAAATAAAAAATGTTATGCAGCAACATGAGTACTGAATTGCAAACATAAAAAATGTAAGGATTATAAATGAAGAGTAAAACAATCTATTCAGTCGATAAAGAACAATTTATTGAAAATAATCTAAATACATTTCATTATTTCCTGTACTTTTGTAAAAAGAATGTAAGTTATAAAACAATTTGGGTGATATATAATACCTACTATTTACAACAGGTATTATTTTTGTTTTTTCAACAAAAGATTAGCAAATCGTATAATACACATTTTATATCTGTTTATAGTATACCCTTTCAGGTAAAAGTACACAAAAATCCTACGAAAAAAAACAGCAATACGATAAATAAAACACAAAAAAACGAGTCGCATAAAAACGCTTACGAGTTTTATTTATATATATAAATTATTGTTACTTTTTTACTCTACATAAAAAGAACATGCTAAAGTTATATACTCAGTCCTTTTAATCGGCCTATTATACGAAGCTACCGCCTAGAATAGCTGGGCCACATGTTATATTTTTGTTTTTTTATTTTAATTTTTCATCATTGCGATATCGGTGCAGGAAAAAAAGAACAGAATAAAAGAACAGAATAAAAGGTGAACCTTCAATCAAGCAAGTTACTAAGAAAAAAAACGAAAAATACGTATAATGGCAGTTGCACTTGCACTTTGTGCCGAGTTAAATATTCTCGTACAAAATGTAATGTTCAATCAATACAATAAAAGAAGTTAATTTCTTATAAAATTAATGCTACATTTTCTAGAATATACAAACAATAAATTTGAACTTTACAATGGTCTTATGATCTACTTTGTTATCAGCAATGTGGTTATTAATAATCATCTTGATAAATGTTTAGAAGAAAACATGTTGTATATATTATTTTCATTTTTAAAGGTGTAGCATTACCTTTATAAGCTTGAAAAGAATTAACATTAATTAAAATAATATAATTTTACGAATCGACAAAGGAATAACAAAAAATACGAATATCGTTGTGACTTTTGATTTCCGACTGTCGATCTGACAATATTTTGTGCATTTACAACTTTTCTTCTTTTGTTGTCTCCCATTTACACCGATCGTATAAGGTTTGTTAACATTAAAGTCAGTATATATAAAGTTATATTAGATACACACGTGTATCATCTTTCTCAATTACAGTATTCTCTTCGCTTTTGAAAGTTTTGCGGGAGAAAAAGCATTTATATAAGGCTATATAAATTGGTCTGTTCGTTGGATTATGGAGCTAAAAGCATCAATTGATATGACGATTTTTCATGTCATAATTGTTTGTTTCTTTTTATTCATTTATTTTTTTTAACAAGGCACTCGTGTTCAAGACTCTCATCATTATCCAAACGCAGACTTGAAAATCTTTTTACAAAACAAAATTAAAAAATAAAACAGAAAAAAGAAGGATAAATAGAGAGAGCCTCACCGTATGTCTTAACTCATTGATGAAATCACTTATCGCACCATTGAAATCTTGTCTGATTCATGGCTCTTTCTTCTGTATCACAGGTCACAGATATTCTTGTTTTTTTATTTGCCAAAAAAGTTCTGAATACACAACCGCTTACTCATGAAATTAGAATTTAACAGTTATCCTATAGACGCAAATGAACTATTATAGCTGCCTTGCTTACCAAAAAGACTTTAGAAAACTTGATATGTTGAATGAAGATGAATAAGGTATTCAGAAATTTAAAAACATGTAATAATTAAAGCATCCATGTATGTACATAAAAAAAATTATCGTTTAAAAAAAATTGTAAGAATTAGTCTTGTCAATACAAACAATTTAATAATTTGACGACACAGGTCGCTTAAAAAGTGCCAGTCAATGAAAGAAATTTGCGAAAAAACAAGCTTAGCACGATGAGCCTTCACATTGAAGGACTATTTTCGTCGACGCAGTACAAAAATGTTTACATACAATCATCATACTATTTTAATCGGATCTCATGTCTGTTTTTTTTTCTCGTGGAAAGTGTTTTTCTTTTAGTTTTTTGAAATTTGAATTAAAGTTAATGTACATCGTATCTTCACTTCAATAATTTTCTAATTATTAACCCTTAAATTTAGTTTTTATCTACGTAATAAAAATTAATTACGCTGTTACGTCTTGCTAACTGAACGATTTAGTAGGCGAAGGAACACACCAATGTTTTTTTTGTTTCTTATTTTGTAAACACATCACGCTTCATTCTCAAAACTTATTTACAAAAATTTTTTCCAAGAAGAAGCTTATACTGAAAACTATTTAATTTTTCTAACCATAACAAAAACTCAAATTCAGATTCCATTTATTGGTAAAATCAAATTAAGTCAATTTTACAATATTTGTAATAATTACACGTATAAGCATCTTTTTGGCATGCGCCATGTTCTTTCCAGCTATCGAGTCGCGTATATGCGTATATCAACGTGGTTTTGTAAAATATTTGTAGATTTTATGGAGGCATGTGACATTCAGTTATCGGTTTTCTTATGCTGGATAATTCACAATTCAAATGTCAATAGAAATTGTAAAATTCAGTCACACGTTTTGTATCATATAATCAATTAACCTAAATTGAAATATATATGTACAAAATATAATTTCATAACAAAAGTTCAAAATATTTATTTAAAAATTCATTGATCCTCAATGTATTGCTTTTTCATTTACATTTTCCTAATTAGTGAAATTTAGAAAATTATATTATATTATTTAAAAATTTTTACAAATAAAAACTTTTAAAAAATATTCTTGCAGCTATACAATTCAATGCTTGCTTAATAAATTCTCAAAACAATGTTTTAGCAATTTCTAAGCATACCAACGATCAATAAATTTTCTAGTCTTATAATTTTGTTCCAAGAATATCTTATTATATTAATACAATTTACCATTACAAATTATCAATTAATTGAAACAGCTTTCATGTTCTTGAAGCACTTTTCATTGGGTGCTTCTGCTGGTCTTTATTGCTTAAATTCCAACGCTATAAAACTGTTACTCAACAAGTGGATATTAAATTACATAGTATTAATTGACTGTGCATATCATTACGCCTTGATCGATATTTCGCATAATATTCAGTAGCAGAATAAATTATTTATTCCTTTTATTTGTCTTTTCAACGAACAGTGTATATGAAGCACATTCAGTGATGGGCAAGCGACAACGGAGATATGTTTAGTGTGAGCTCGATAAGATTTTTTTCCTCTTTATTTTTGTACATGAATAAGGCGAACAGGACACTCTCATTATTATTTTATAACTTTCATTTTTCATTATCTGATAAATTACGGATTTTGCTCAAAACATTTATACAAAATAGGAGACAGTATCGCATTCTCAACAGTAAATGTAAGATTTCATAAAATATTCTAAATTAGCACATTCAAAAGTAATAAAGAGTTTTGATAGTAACCGAATTAAAAAAAACTTTTAAAACTTATTCCATAAAAAAATTATGATATTAATGTGTCCCGGTAAAGCATAAGAATACAAATTTAGAATATAGATTCTTAAAAATAACTGAATTCGAGCAGTAGAGCACTTTCGTATCGGGCTCTCTTTATGAAATTATATTTACTCGATTAAGGTCGCCGAGCAACTCTGACTTTTTTCTCAAAATTTAAGAGATGAATACAGATGTCTTGTGCAATGTTCGTGGAGTCGTGTGTATATATATATATATGAAGCGCTTCATACTTCACTTGTCCCTCTCTCATTTTTTAATTAATATTTACAATGATAATTGCATCTGCGTCAACGAAATCGACGATCGGTTTTAATTTACCTATTCAATAATCCAGTGCAATGGAGCGCTGCGAAGTTTATGCTTCGGTAAGATAGGTGCAAGGATAGTTATTTTTTATGTTAGCGACAATAAACATGTTGGCTGCGCCAGATGCAACCACCTACAATTGTAAAATGACATTTTCATTATTTCACGATCATCAACAACATAATTATAAAGTAATTGTTACAGTAAGTACTTTAAAATAACTAGCTGCGCGTTGTTTACTATTTAAATTAAATTTGAAATTACGATGGTTTAAACTGGGTACAAGACAAAACTTCAATATTATCAAAGTTTATACTTACAAGTTATTCAACAGCAAAACCACAAGTTTCTTCTACTGCCTGTGTAAGCTTGTCCAGCATTTTTTTATAGTTTGGATAACTTTGTGGTATATCAATTCTGTTGAAACAAGTGTGCGCCTTTGGTAGATTCTCACTCGGAGCATCTACTGCATGAATTGTAAATAAACGAGGACCTGCAGCTCCAGTTGATCCTTTAAAAACATCATACGAATACAAATTATAAAAATAATTTTTAGAGTTGTAATAAAAATCAATAAATACATAGCATATCCAAAATATTACCTTGCAAAGCTTTGAAACCCTGCAGTGGAACTCGCGAACTACCAGTAACAAATTGAAGGAGTCTTGCTCGCATTTCTTCGCCATACGACTCGACTATTTGCCAGAACCACTTAACTACAGGCGTATCGGGCGTACAGTTCTTCAATCTAGTGTTTAGCTTCCAGTCGTTGATGTCAATCGTACCAAGACCACCGATGACGAGTTCTAATTCGCGTTCATCGAAAGGTCTAAGCAATTGCGAAGGTATCAATTCATGGAAGCCCTTTTGTAAGGCTAAGAACTGTTGCTCTATTCCACGCATAAAGCGATAGTTGACATACAGACGCACGTATTCTTTCTTGTTTTCTTCCGTTACTGGAATGTCCTTGCCACCAGGCTTCAGTTCGTGGTTCTTTAGGACGCCAAAACTGCTGTGCTCTACTGAGAATGCCGCGTCAAGTACACCATCTATGCTGTTTTCTCTGTAAAGATGAATGATATAATTGTTTTAAAAATTGATTGTTTGAAGTACAGCAATTTCTGAAAAATATAACTCACAGCATCCAAGTTAAACTTCGATGCAGCTCCGGATCAACTCCTTCGATATCATTTAAGGTTATGGCCTTATTTAGCAACATCTTGTAAAAAGGTGTGGTAAATCCACCGTCGATGTGATGACCATGAAACACAGCAATACCAATAATCCTACCAGCAAAATGGAAGTAAGATAGATGCTCCGGATTGATACCGGAATCAGCATTGATCTGCAACGTATAATTGTCATCCCTCGAGTACTGAAATAAGCCGTACTGCGGGTTGAGCATCTCATGAGATAGTAGATAGAGCCATTCTCGAGCTACGCCACCGTAATCAAGTCCTTCTTCACCTCGGAATTTAACCATCAGACGTTTACGCATGTCTTTTGGTCGCATTTTCATTACTAGTCGATATGATTCCTACAATTCAAATGCATGAATAATTAGAGTTGGTAAAATATAGTTACCATCGTTTAAGATGTTTAATTACTTCGAATATTTCGTTTCTTGACACTTCCAATCTACAATGTCCCGTCTGCGGCTGAAGCGCATTCAATTCCGCTCGCAGACACTTCAACTTCGCAACTAAATCTCGTTTATACTTTGGAAGAAGTTCGCTTTCCATCAACTCTTTTGGCAAATCTGACACCGTTTGGCCATTTGGAGTGGACGGAGTTTCGGCTGTAATAACCATTATTTATTTATAATAATAATTTATATATTTTGTTCTGTAAGCTTTTAGTTTTTCAAAAACATTATTTAAATAGCCAAATGTGACTAGTGTTTTAAAAACGAAAAAGAAAAAAGAACAAGAAAATAAAAACGAAAGACAAAAATATCGATAAAAACAATTCGAAATAATAACTCGGCTATCTATTATACTAAAGTAAAAATGTTTATTTACACTAGATATGCATGTTTCAAACACTAAAAATTCCAAGCAATCGATAACTTCGAAAAGTGAAGCAATTGAATTCCCGAAACGAAAAAAATGAAAAATCATTCGACATTGCTGAAAAGAGTACAATCTCACTGTAAACAAAACTATCAGTCTTACTCGTTGGAGTATTATTGTTGCTCGCACCATCACCTCTGGGCCTTTGTTGATTAGCATTTTGTGGCGTAGAAGGTGGTGGTGGAGGTGATGCAGCTGCTGGCCTTGTTGATCCATTCGGTTCTGTTCTCGCAGGCGTCGATGGATTATTACTATTAGCTTGCTGCTGCTGCTGCTGTTGCTGTTGATCCACTGGCTGGCCATTTTGGCGCCTGTAATACCAATTAAGTTGCTCGTGAAAACGCGAAACTATCATTGAGTAATGCATTACTTATGTATAAATATTGATCATAATTAATGAAGGACGTGTGTGCTGTCGCGAATATCTTGACACAAACTTACTGCGCTTTATCCTTTGTTAGTCGGCTTATCTTATTTTTAGTATTGAACTAGATTACTGAATATCTTTTTATTAGTTAAAAATCAATCATGTTACGATTAATAAATGAAATTCCACGCACACAGCACCACATGCTAAATGACGTATTGATGGAATAAAATTTATCATTATTAAAAAAAAATTCATGGCATTGATTTACTACTTTCGAGTAATTTGAAGCACCCGATTAATTAATTATACGATACTCGTAATTCTACATATTTATCACACCCTGTAACACACTTATTTTTCTAAAATTATGCGTCACCATCAAATGAAAAACCCATCAAAATCATCTACTAAAGTTTTCCCCCAAATAATTTCGTTTCCCCAGAAAAACGTGCAACCATATTCATCAGTGACTCACTTTAAGTAATTATTGATGATTTGCGTAGAGATGCGAGGGTCGGTGAACTGAGTAGTGCGATTGTTGTGGTCTACGAAGTAAACCCGTCCACTCTGTGTTTGACGCATCTCCCAGCCACTCGGTAATGGACCCAAATCCAATTCGTTGGCTGGTAAATCACGAGGTATACGAGGGTCATGCCACGTTGATGTACTGGTTGGCACGTGATAGAAATACACCTGACCCTGCTGCGTCTTTCGCATCTCTGAAAGACGTTTGTTGTTGTAGATGCGCATACCGGATACGCAGGTATAAATACGTTTTGAATGGAAAAAATGCTTAGCGCAATTGATTCAACAAAAATTTAACACTTTGTTGTGTACATTTGAAACTTATATACCGATAAATTTCACAGATGCATTTTTTTCTACAAAAAAATTATCTGATCAAGCACAATTTACATTACTTCGAGTGATTTTAACGCGTTGACTTTTTTTTCGTTCTCCAAATAATAAAAACAGCAATCTACAAAAACAGAATGAGCGCGCGCTCTCATTCGGAGAGAACTCTTTTTATCAATGATCTCAATAAATAGAAAGGAATCACACAAGTTATCACACGTTTTCTTTGCGTTATAAATATTGCAATAACTTAGTGCTAACTTGATTGTTATGAGAACTAAATATTGTTACCGAGAGTTTGAAAAACTATCATAACACGCATATCACATGTATTATCAGTATGTTTCGCTAATGTATCGTGTCGTGAATCATGTCATTAACTTTTAGCATTTGAATCGTAAAAAATTTTTATTACTCAAAGCAGGTGAAAAACGATTAAAAAAATAGTATTCCGTAAAATAAAAATCGATGCAAATATTGTAATCGTAGGTGTATATACCAATTAAGATTACTTTACAAAAATGTACATACATGTACATGCATACGCAAATGATTGCTCATTGATCGAACTGCGTATAAATATGCAAGTGGATGTTTTGAAAGTGAATCACATTGCAGATGTCTCACGACGCCCGCGCTATTATTCTTTCTCTCTCTATCTCCCTACGTTATATTAATTTGTAAAATAGAATCGTCGTCTGGGAGATAATAATCTCGATAAAAAAAATGTTTCGTACCAGAATGTATAAGTATCTTTCAATTATTACCCATATACGTCGAAAAATTCCAATAGAATTTTCTTTGTATACCTTAATTTCTACTTTTTCATTGACTTTCCATTTTCGCTCATACTCGACACGCTCTAATAGCAATGATGATTATATTAAAGTTTCAAACTCACCATAACCCCGAGGTAAATCAAGAGGTTGCACATCAGTCCTCCTCTCACCCATAATTCCACTATTTCGATTTCTATTGGGTCGACTTGGCCTCCTCGCTTGACTTCCATTGATTTGTGGTCTCGCGCTTCCATTGCTTTGTTGCTGATTTCCATTTTGTTCATCGGTACGTCGACTCGATCTTGCCGATGATACAGCTCTTGGGTTTGGTGTACTTGAGGAGGTATCTTGCGCCGGTGAGCCAAGCGATTCCAGTTCTCTTGATGCTGGATTACTTTCGGCTGGACTATTACTACTACTTGGTGGTAAACTCGATGGTGATATTGGTGCTGGGTCTGAACAAGGTAGCACTGGCGGTGGCTCTGGCGTTGTTGGAATTATTGCATTGTTTGGCCTAAAAGAACGTTTATTGATTTAGCGAGAGGTCACGGTGTTAAGATTCTGGATTAAAATGGATTTTTTTATATTTATCTTTAATGAGTTGACGCTTAATTAAATGTCCGATGTGAATGAGGTTTAAAACATCTAATGAGCTATTTTTGTTTTTTAAATATTTCAAATAAATCACACGTTCAAATAGAGTTTAACGGATACAGATTTTTTTAAATTTATTATTTTGAAACGTTTGGAATCTTTCCAACAACAAAAGTTTCTACATAACACGAAACAAAATTATCTTCAACAGATTTTTTAAAGTTGAATGAATATTTTTCTTTTTTTTCCTCTGAGCTTACTTTTAAAATTCGAATAACACGTTTATGTCATTCTATATTTGCAAGTACAAAATATCGTTGTATAAATCACTAATATATAGTTTTTAATGGCGTTTGAAATATTTGATGACCTCTGATAATAATTTAAGTCATCAACAAACTAGTCGAATATTTTTGCAAGAATACACATTTGCTAAATTTTTTAAAAAATTAAAATATTTTCTGATGTAATATTGAAATAATGATTTGTCAAGGTGTTTTTATATATGAATTTTACATCATGACAACTCCATAAAATTAATTAAAAGCCAAAAAAGCTTTGAGTGAAAAAAATTAATTTTCAATAAGCTAAACTCACCTCGAATTCGGACGGACCCACTGTGTAGTACGCGTGTAATGATTGACGTAATAGAGTCGACCGCTCTGAGTTCGCCTTTCCTCCCAACCATCTGGCAAATCCGTAGGACAGCTAAGGTCACCAAGCATGTCAACCACAGCATTGTGACCAACGGTGTTGCTTATTGCACCGTTGTGACCATCTCGCGATAACAGCGACACTACGATTTGCCCCTTCACGATATCCGAATCGTCCGAGTGAGCCTTGCATAAATCCAACCGTTGATCTTCGCGAATCAAAAATTATATTAATATTTTCAATTAACAACGAGAAAAAAATAATTCAATGATAAAGTATTATTACAGCCAGTATCCCTGAGCCTTTGGATGGTATTGGACAAAATTCGCACACATCCGAGAAAGCCTCCACCCTGTTTTTTGTGGATTTTGCGGTGGTTCCACACTGATATAGTAATGCCATCATTTTTTCCAATGTATCTGAATGGCATAAAAAATCATTTATTAATCCTTGAACTATAAATGTCATCACTTTCTATTTACTTATTTATAGAGCAAAGTTGAAGCTGAATTGAAAACAAAGATGTGTTTTCTTCTTTCATTATATATTTACAAAGTTTATTTATACTCACAAATCATAGTGTTGATTCCACTTTGGGTCTAGAGTGGCTTTGCATGTGTCTGTGCTGTGTATCTGGCCAGAACCATCTACAGTAATTTTGGCAAAAGGATCGGGCAGACCTACAATGCAAATAATTTATACATCTATAGTTTTTCATTCTAAACAATTACATAGCATAAAGAAATTGCAACAGAATTACTTACGAAATAGATCTTTTCTTGCAAGGTTACGAGCACACAAGACTGAAATTTAAAAAATCTACGTTAGCAGAAATAAAATTAATTTTTTGACAACAAAGAATTATTTTGCATGAACTATTGTAAAATTTGAAGACATCATTGATGGACAAAAGAATAATGAGAATCAGCACATCCAGTTAAATGTATGAAGAGAAAATGGAACAAGCACTGTTGAGAGAAGGAAAAAAAAATATGATCTGGTTGCAGAGTTATCAATTAAGAAAGAACGACGACATTTTTAAACCCAGCAAGTACTTTCTTTCTCTCTCTCTTTCTCTCCCACTTTAAATAAATTCAATTGGCAGCTGCATTAATTAAACTTCATTTACAGCCAAGTTTAGGGAACCAAAGTACGTTGTATTTAAGTTACCACACTACATTTGGTGTCTATTCACAGATGATTCTAAGGACTTGGTATCAGGTGATTAATAAGATTAATTTTTTTAAGAATAAGCTGATGAGAACAATTTACAGTTGACAAGATAAGATGTTTAATCTGCATAACAATGAAGCCTTATCTTTCTTTATAATCACATGCAAACAATTCTATGTGCTGCTAGGGAATAATAAACATGATTGCACTTGAATTGCAAAATTTTTTATTTTATGAATTTGACTTTATTAGTAGTTCAACATAATAGTTTAGTTTTAAAAGTAAATTCAAACAATTATAAATAAGGTAATACTAGATTAAGTTTTTTTTGCAATATACTTATTAATATATGGTTGCGTAATTATTATCAATACTTTGACAAATAAATTAAAAGAATCAACTGGAAAGTACAATGGTACCTCAATCACTTGGAAAACAAAAGAATAAGAATTACAAAATTGTCAATTCTCCCTGTTAGAGCAAATAAATTATAAAATTTCTGAATTACCAGATCTAATCAAGCTTAATCACAGCTATGTCTTGAATGAACCTGTCACTTGCATTGCTCTAAATCATTTTGTTAAAATCTACTCCAGTGTACACACTTTGAAAGCTTAACAGAAGTACAATAGCCAAAAAGTAAGGTTGCACTGAATAGATGTCAAGAGAAATCACATTATCACAATGTACAAAGCTTGAAACTCAGCACAAGCCTCAAATTCAAATAGAAAATCAATCAGTTCCAATCAACGCTGATTAACAAGCAGCTTGAATGATCCTCCAAGCAAACTAGTTGTATTAATATCACCGTGAACTAATAAAAAAAAACACTTTGGAATCAAACAATATACCACTATTTAGCTGTAACAAAATAATTGTAATCACACTAAAAAAATGCAAATCTTCTTTTGAGTGTTCACATATAGGCTCCAAAAAGCCATGCATGGATTGCATTAAAGTGGAAAGCCAATAAAGCCTCGTTAATCAACGGTAGTGCAACGTAAAAAAAAAGGAAAGCCACAGCAGCGTCGGCCAAGCAGAACGTGTATATTCCTCGGCGAAGGTGCTCGTGCAGCCATATTGAAAATAGCATCGGGGGAACGCGACAACGAGGGAAGGGACACACGAACGGATTGAGCAAAAAAACTGTACGTTGAGGTGTATGGCTCTTTAAAAAAAATTGCCGAAGCAATAGACTTACTCGTTAGGCGGATCTTGGTCGCCGCGGTCCTCCTGCTACCGCCAGGGTTCGACATCCTCGAGGCACATTGGAGACGGCCTCCTGTAGGCACTGCATACACGCACGTCGCGTCGTGCACACACCGCCGCCGTAAATAAAAGTTTCGACGACGACGACCACGACGACGACCACGACGACGACCACGACGACGATCAGCCGAGAACTGTGGTATGTATAATGGCGCGCACACGCACACCCGCGCTCTCTCCCTCTTTTACTTACACTTACGCGCAACACGGCAACGCACGCATACACACACACACACACATACTAATGTTTTCTTTCTTCCGACTATGCAGTATGTAGTATGTAGTGTGCTGCTGCCCGCCGTACTGCAACAATATATGCAGTCTCTCACACAGACAGACAGAGCTGGCTACTGATGTCTGGCGCTCCGTCAATGAAGTTTTCTACTTTCGAGAATGCAGTGCATTGTACGCACACATATATCGTACCTAGTATCTACGCGACGAGTCGACTCTGTGAAATTCACAGGTCACGTGGTATGTCCGCAGCCATTTAAATGCTCTGACGAAAAAAGTTTGAATATTAAATGAATTTCACTGACAGTTTTTTATCATCCAGTTCTTATCAATAACTTACATTTTTTTTGAATATTTATTTCTTTATTTCCGTACTTCAGTTGATTAAATTTTGTAGTCGAGCAAACCACTTTTCAGTTTATTTGATTTACGAAAAACTGATAAACATAATACAATATAATATATAATAAAATTCTAAGTAATATAAATATATATAGGAATGGAGTATATATATTTGATTAAAATGTATTTGATTGATGCCGTGCCTTACTGACGACTATCTTACGCTTGCTCAAATAATCAAGCGTAGATAATGCACGTTTCAATATGCTTTTAGCTCGCTAACATTAAATAATTGTATATCTCCTTTTTAAGTTTAAGTTAACAAATATCAAGTTTAATACGAATTCGGTATCTAATCTAACAGAAAATTCGTGTTTTTTAGGGGGAGGAAATGTATAGTATAAAAATTTGTCAAATGTACGCAGGATGAATCTATGTAAAAACTAAAAAAAGGCTATACTCTGATACCTCTTTTCGAATAAATTTTATTACCGTTGAAAAAAAGCGATAAACGGCATCACCATATTTAATTCCAGATCAGCCGCCCTCGATTTGTTTTGAGTTTTCTATGTTTACCCGAAAATCTAAAAAATTCAATTGTCATCTCTTTATCGAGGCACGCGCAGTTAAGTATGGTTGAAATCTTTCATTTCGTCTTTTTTGAGTGTCAAAAAAGGGAGTGTAGAATCATATGCGTAGGAGAATTAACGAAGATTCGATTGAAAAAATTTACAATTGCTGTGGCTGATAAAATAATAATATACAAAAGAAAAACGCGCTGCCTGGTGGCTATAATCGCAAGCTGCATTTCGAAGCTCATTCTTTTTTGATCGCGTGCTATGACAATCAGATACGTCGTTAATCGCTTACATAAGGTGAGTTTTTTATTCAATTTTCTATCTTTTGCGTATATTGTGTTTGGGCATTTCGCTTCAACTTGATTATTAAAATAAACGCTAAATTATTTGTACCTCGCGTTTTTAAAAAATTAGTATGCTAGGATATATACGAGTACATTGAATTGATCAAAATTCTAACAATAAATTTATGTAATATACATAAAGTACTTTCATATTTGTTTATTTCAATTGCAATTAAATGATTGACAAGCAAACAAAACTATGTCAAAGTTAAAGTGGATTTCTATTTCAATAAGGAAACGTCGAATCAGTAAACTTTTTTAAGACGTATGACTGAAACTTCTGACTTAATTTAAAACCATTCCTTAAAAAAATATGTAGGTCTAAGTCGAAGCCGCTGCACAGGCATATCGAAATTACCGCGCAAATGAGTTCAAAGTATTTTCGTTTAGAACTTGACCTTAAGTTTAATTATATACTCTCAAATGCTACAGATTCATTAATCGAAATAAATAAGATAGTTGGACCGCTGTTACTTTTTTATTTATTTATATCGAATCGATGACTGTGCAAAAGTGGTTGACGCACAGAGAAAGTATAATGTTTATTTAAAAATTTTATGTACGTAGTTGTGCATTTATCTTCGCGCAAGGCAATGACGTGATAATTAAAGATTTTACAGATCCGACATACGAAAGCTACAGAATTCCCGGCAGCTGGTGCATTCCAGTCTTACCGATAATCTTTCATCGATCAGCTTTCAGTATAATGAACGGCAATTACGTTTTACCACCGTATCGCCAAAATGATAGTCAACAAACGTTAACAAGCGACAGCGTTCGTCCATCACGATACGAATCTCTGAAAGAAGCAATCGCTCAGAAGGATCACGGTACCATAATCTGGTTGCTGAACGAGGGTTGTCCCGTGAACGACGTGGACGTGGACAAAAATGCCGACAGTCCATTACACATCGTCGTTTGCATCGACGACATTCACATTGCGCGTATCTTGATATCTGCTGGCGCTCAAATAAACGTCGTCAACTCTCAAAAGGAAACGCCTCTGCACTTGGCGTTCGCATTGGGTAACGTAGACATGATAGATCTGCTATTGGCGCAGTGCGACGGCAAAATGAACCCATTCACTGTTTACGGTTTGTCGCACTTTCATATCGCCTGCGTGAGGAACAATTGGCTGGTAACCAATGCCTTTCTGATGCGAGGTGTTAACGCCAATGTTTACCTGGAGAAATGCTTCTATGGAAAAGACTACGTCTACTACAGACCTTTGCATTTGGCGGTGAAAAATGAAAATTTAGAAGTGGCTGAGTTATTGCTGAGATACGGCGCGAATGGCAATGCCAAAGATCGGTTCAAGAGGACACCACTTCATTTGGCTTGTAGGTATAATTATAAGAAAATTTGCGATGCGATCAAGAATGGCAAAGTTGAAACTCCCGAGGACATTATGCGCATAGTGAAGTCTGCTAATGATCAGACTGATATCGTAAGGTTGCTGCTAAGATACAGAGCGAATATCGAAGCTCTGGATGCTAGCGATACTCCACCGCTATTTAGCGTATTCAAGTATCATTGTGGCGAAATTAGGAATGCCATGAACGAGAGAATGAACGGCGACGCTGGCGATGAATTTTATGATGAGATGTGTCGAACAGTCAGAGAAATACAGAGAGAAAAGTTTTACATACTCATTCAACATGACGTGAACGTAAAATTTTGCAACGAGAGCAGAGATAATTTACTGCATCTGCTTATCGACGGCAAGAAACTCTTCTTGAGTTACAGCGGCAGCGCATTGACGAGCAAAGACCGCGACTTGACCGACGATGACAAATCCGAGATTGTTGATTTATTGTGTAAGTACGGCGTGGAAATTGATGCCAAAAACTCATCGGGTCAAAGCCCACTTCAGATGTCCATCTCGTCGTATTACACGAGAACAGTGAAAACACTACTCGACAATAACGCGAACGTAGCGAACGTCTGCTTTTTTCATTACAAGATACCGCGACGCGATCCTGGTGGTAACTTTGAGTTGACTGAGATGGAGAACTTCCTCGATATTATCTCATTGATCTTGAAGAGGAAGTCTGATTTGAATCTTACCAAGACTAATGAATTACTCATGCTGAGGTACATGGCACAATTCTCGAATGTGCAGCACTTCGAGAATTGTAGTACATCAGATCTCAGGCACCTTCTGGATTTTGGGGACATTAATAGTATGGATGTATCGTGCTATGCCTCCGAACGTTCGGTACTGTCTAACAGAGAGAAGATTTCTTTGGTATTGGAGCATATACAAAAATTAGAAGTTGCTGGGTTATACGTGGATCGAATTATCAATAGAGAGTTTAATAGGTATAATTGTATGATCGATGTAATTCAGGACTATAATGGTCAGTCATTCTTTGACAAATGTAAGGACGAGGTTCGCGAATTGAAAGTTACGATGATTGATCGCTATGCTTCATTTTACGATTTACTATTTTTGAATGTTAACGAGATTGCTGTGAGAGTGAAGAATAAGAGTTTTAGAGAGTCGGTCAGATCGAACTGTAGTTCGAAATTTAAGTTGTATAATAATATTATCATCAAACAATTTGTTAAAGGTTTGCTTAGGTCGATTTTATTAGATTCGGCGAAGGAACAATTGAGTTTTATTATAAGATTAGAACTACCAGATCCATGCTCGGAGAACATTTTGAGCCATTTAAAAAACGAAGATATTTGTAATCTTGCGCTCGCTTTTGAAAAATTTTGTTAAATTATGACTGTGATAATTTGTTTTTAATCGATAAATTCAAATGTTGTGTTCTTAAAAATCATGGCTACTAATATAAGTTTGAATCTTCGAAATACTTGTCAAATTTCTACAATTAAAAAATTGTAGTTAAAAAAAATATCTGATTTCAATAAATTCATAATATTAAATTTTGTGGACATTTATTACTTGAAGCCTGCCAGTATTACAATCAAAAATATACAATAGTAAAACACAAATAATGTGGATTATATTGATGAAATTCAAGGGTCAATTGATAAACAGTTCTCGACTACAACACTAGAGTAACTCATAATCATATAGAAGTATGGCATAACTATGTCGCGATTGACATTGCGTAGGTACAAAAAATCAATTGAGTATTGTGCTGTAAACGGATGGATTAAAGTATGTACGCTTGTATACAAGGTAAAAATATCTTGATTTTTTCTGCTGAAATTGACATAAGACAATTTTCAAACTTGACTGCCTCTTAGTAAATTGCACTTAAAATCTACAATGTGCGACAATAATAAATGACAATTATCTTAATTTACACGATGACAGAAATGATTTCTTATATTACTGTTAACATATATAATAGCTTTATAAATGAAGTTTAATACTCTTGACGATTATTATACGATTGAACTGACAGTTACTTTACGAAAGGGACTGCGAACAACCGAATATTCAGGCCTACGTTGATGTTCATGCTAATCTTTATTCTAATTGGTCTTCGGTATTATTATTCACTAAAGCATGCTATATAAATGTAAAAAAATATTGATCTTTATTGGTCACAATAGTAAAATTATAAAGTTTGTACTGTTCGACAGAAGTTATTTTAGAACTTACTTCTAAGCTAATTGTTCAATTGGTGAAAAAGAATAATATTTTACAATATTTTTTTTGGAAAATTAAAAAAATTGATTAATTGAAAAAATACAAAAATAAATTCTTAAGAGTTACTGGCCGTATGTTCCGGTAATGGCAGCAGCCCCTTGACACTGTGCTTATATAATAAATATGCATTTTTGATAACGCTTACGGAAAGACATTCTAGTTGACAATTTTTCTTAAGTATAGTAAAATCATGCGTAATTCAATAATTACACTTTATAAATCTTTTGAAGATCACTTTAACTTTCCGTTAAATGTATTATAAATCAGAAGATTTCACTGGCAGTGCAATGGCAACAAAAAATATAGAATTTTTGTGTTATTGCTTGAATTTTTCAACTAATAATTGCATACCAAATTTGATAATTTTAGCAAGTTAGCAAAGAAATTCTGTAGAATATCTTAATCTTCAAAAATGAGGTGCAAATCGTATATAGATTTGTTGAGGTTGTTTGGTTAGTCTGTTGCTCGCTTTATGGCTCGTTTCTGAAGACCAAAACAGCGTCGACTAAGAAGACAACACCTTCGATGATGGAAATGTAGCCAATAGATTTCTGAGAGCCACTTCCGCTGTATTTGTCAAGCCAGATTGCTCCAACAGCAATGAACAGAGCACAACCGATCAAGCAGTAGAACAAGTCCTGTGAAAATACATTGGTTTTCAATAAAATGCTGTTGTGATATTGACAAAAGTACTTATAGATAAAGTATTAATATACTTATAATAATCAGGCAGCGAGTCACTTTTTGACCGTTTTTTAGTTTTTTTATAAAAAATACTCAATCCTCTATAGTTTATACAATGAATACTTACAACACGGCGGTTGACTGGAGTGCCCATTACTCCACCAGCGAATACACCAACGAGAATGATAAGATAGCCCAAGAAACTTCCTGAAGCTAAAAAGCTATGACTGACGGTGCCAGCCGGTTCGTTCAGATAAATCCCAATCAGGATACATACTAAAACCTGCAAGTGTATAAAAAAATTCATGAAACAATCAAGTTTTCAGTCAGTTATTACAATTGTTCTTAGTTACAGAGGAAAACTACAGAAAAAGGGAGCAGACTCAAGATATAAATACATACAAGTCATCAAACTTTTATTTTTTTTTTCTTTCCAATCTAAATTCATATCGCATATTTTCGTATGGGGATTAATGGGATGGAGCGTCGAGACGAGATAAATAAATGATTTGCAGTTATCGAACCCGACTCTATACCACGCGATCTATTTTACACCTCCCGCGTTAAATAGACTGGCATTCTTTGTGCCCGCCGCATTTTTTTCCTTCGGCAAATAGCAAACGTGTGGTTTGTTGGCAAAAAAGAAAGCGTTCAAATTTTTGGATTATCATTTCAAAAAGCAGCCGTACGTGACCCAAGGAGATACTTTATGATTATACTCGTCTATAACAATCTCACACAGGATACGTGGAAGGATAGTGCGTCCGTTTAAAAAATATTGCAAGCACAGATCACCTTTCAGTCGATGTTTGCCTGTTGTTATAATAAATATGTACGAATTCACATTCAATCAAAGAGTACAAATTCCAATGGATTTAAGAAGTTTTCTGCGTGAATATTAAAAAAAAGTAGTTAAATGTTATTGTAAGTTCACTTTTACTAAAGGTATCCGTGAGAAAAGCGTTTGTATTTGACTTTCTAACTCAATTATCAATTTAACCAATATTTGAGTAACTTGTTGAAATTAGATACGATGCTCTATAACATTAAAGTAAAGCGCCTCGTAAACAAACAATAATTAGTATGCACTCAGTCCCTTATAATATTACGAGCAAAAATACGACCCCGTATACGTTCAGATTACACAATGAAACAGCGAGCCACACCTGATGTCATCCTTCGCTGTTTTTGTAAAAGTTTTGCTGACCTTCACTTCCAAAAGCGTCACGCGATCTGTCGTCTGACGTCGTCGCGTATTTATCTCACTTCAGTTTTTTTTTTTTCGAAGTGTTGGGTATAAAAATGCCAATGTCTGATTGGTTGTTTGCGTGGGAACTAGTCGTTTGGGCACGTTTCTGTGATTAATATGGCTATAACAGATTAGTCATCCTATGCGAACTTCCCGTATAATTAGAAAGAATCGCGTGACACGCTTCCTTCCTCTCGCACGGTTTATCACTTTGATCGCGTGTTGGAAAAATAATTTTTTTTAACGTTCTTTGTTCATAATAACGTTAATTTACACGGGAAATTGATAAAGGATATCCACGACGGACTTCTTACGCTAGACTTTGCGGTCAGCATCCTTGATGAGAGAAATTTCACTTTGTACAATTGGAAAGTAAGATGCATTTTCTATTTATTTGATAAATTTTTAATGATCGAGAGAACGATAATCATTTTTAATTGCAAGTTATTCTGAAACATTTGTTTTTTTATGAAATTCCTTTGTGTTGATTTATGAAACTTATCGTTTGATTCACAGTTTTATCTGTGATTTGGTCGTCATTATATAATTGAGTATCATAGCTACTAATATTCTCACTTTATTCCATCAATCTTAATTAGTCATTAATCATCAAAATATTCAAAATACGGAATACATCAACTATCTATTATTCTAAATCGAATGCAGACGTTATACATCAAGCGAGTGTCTATTGTTGGAGATACTTAGAAAAAATACCCACCAGCTCAAGGAGCTTAATAGCTGTGTGTCTCGAGATGACAATGGCCATTTTAGATTATCTGTAATAGAAAAAAAGACAAGAGATTATTAACTGTGGGTGTCATACGATATTTCAAGTTATAAACGCTGTCATCACATAGCCGACATGGAAGAAAATTCCTACGATTTTTTTTCTTTTTTTCATAATCGTCACAATTGACGTACGTTGCTCGGTTGAATACACGAGTTAAAGTCTATAAATTGAAATTGCAGCTTTTAAAAAAAAAATTTCAGTCTAGTTTTTATTTTGATGACTGCGCCTTCAAGAAAAATGCAGACCTCTATTTTAGCTCTCTATATTTAAACCAATTACTCATGCTTATTGTGATTCATGTGTCCGACACAAACGAGCGATTCTTATTAAAAATACAATGAAAAATCGTCAATAATTGTATGCATATTTCTTTTTGATTCGACATCGCTGACTTACATTCTCGTAACCAATTCGAAAACGAAATAAACGTTTAAGTTATATTGGCAAACTGAGCATTGCAAATGCCATCCATCCTGTCTCGCGAAGCTATAACAAGAACGCTAAAGCTGGATTTGTTTATCAGCGAGAAGAATCACGTAATTTGGGATTCAAAAGCGCCACGTAGTACACATTACCACATAAACCCCATTCTATGCGAGCTTTCAAGTATATAAGAGTAGGTCAACGTCGAGACGCAAGAAAAAAAAATAACAAGAACTACGAACTCCACCTTTTCGATCGATACAACTGCGCATAAATAAAAAGAGAGAGTATGCGCAATAACCGGGTTTGCGAAAAGTATCACGCACACGCGCGCTGTAGCTTCGCTTAAAATTCACGGAGTTAACGAGCTTTTTCTCCCTCCCGCTGGAGTGACGGGATACTTTTTTAAAAGTCGCCTTAGTAATATTTTCTAGCTTATGCGGCACAGAATGCACGCTAGATATGAATCTTTCATAGGCATAATAAACTGGCCTAAGAATGTTCTTTTTTCTTTTGGTTGAGAGCGACACGAGGTCATTTGGAAATCATTGAAAAGTATCGCAGAAACGTCCGACCAGTTGGTACGCCGCTCGCGGTTAATGTAATGCCGCGGGATGCTGATACCGCGGGAGAATGTTCCGTCGAGCGAGATTGAACGACGCGAAGCGCTCGGCAACGATAATTCAACGAGGTTTGCCTGGCGCATCTCGTCGGCGAACGGCAAAAGAAGCGGGGACACTTTTGCGACGAGACGGGAGTAGTAACTCAGCCGAGGAATTATAAATGCGAGGAAACGATAAGAGGAAACTTTGCGAGCGGCGCTAGTCTCGATAACGATATGACGGAGAGTGAATTCGACCTTGCCGTGTTAGCAAATCGAATAATAAAAAGAAGCAGGGCGCACGGGAAAAGAATTATTATTGAACGGCCTGAAAGCGCATAAGTTTGGACAACGACGCGCCAGGGCTACGCGTAATGCCTTCTCTTTTCTTTTCCCTTGTCGCGCTCTTTTGACTTTGCCTTGGCATTTATTTTCGTAACCGCGAATGAAACATCCTGACTTCATCGAGTTCACGCGTGCGATGACGTACGCGGGAGGGTGTAATTAAGCAACCACAACCTCGCGCCGAATACGCTGTCTTTCTCTTTTCGTTGTTGCTGACCTTTCTATTCAATGCCTAAGTAATTAGGATATTTTTCTTCGCGCGGCGATGAGGACTTAAGACGATTTCTTTGACTGACAAGGAAATACATTTTTTTTTGTTTTCCTGGGGGGTGGAAGAGGGAAGAATAATTCGAGTGCCAATTATCTTAAACTGCGTTTTATTATTATACTTAAGCTACTGAGATCTTACTTACTCATTGTAAATTTTTCGAGCAACGCTGAATGTAGGTCAAATTGTAGAACTAGTTACTGAAAACGTTTCAGCTTGTACAGTTTATTTCTAGAGCGTGTTTGAATCGATGGGCGCCGGCATTGGCAAAATTATTTACGGCAATTTCGGGTATTTTCTTTCATATCGTTCGGAGTGAATGATGATCACGCGAAATTTGCACGAAAGACCATTATTTTATTTCGGCAACCATGCTCCAAGAATATCCACATCCTAAGAATTTTAAAGCGTTCGCGCGAAAATAGTGGATTAGCTAGAGATCAACGACGACTACATGTTCTACTCGTAGATACTGCGACGTGAGAAAAAAAGTAAGAGGAAGATTTATAAAGCGCTCGTCACGGTTTATATTCGCACATATGAATCAACACGAGTGATGCATCAAGTCGTTATATTATCATAGCAGCCTTTCACACAGAGAGATGCTTAGCGATTGTGATTGCGCCGAGCCTCATCGAAATATATAATCTGCATTGAGAAAGTAGGATGTCATAACGTCATTTTTTGATTGAGAGAGAAATACTTCGCGACTTTTCGGCATTATTGAAATGAATGATAAGCGATTTTACTTCTGCTGATAAGACTGCGATAGCGTTAGCGAGTACCGAGTAGTTAGAAGCGGCTCGATCCGAATCCGAGTCATCTGGTTAAAATTAGCAATGACAAGTTAACGGCAAGGGCACTTTCAAAACATTCAACATTGCGGAAATTCGAAAACAAACGCGAGAGTAAGCTAAAGTTTATCGAATCAATCACATACATGATGCTATATTCCTCGGTATATACGAGGCATGACTCGATTGCCAAACCAAAGACGGACGCGACCATGATGAAGTTCTGGAATGCCGAGTAAAGTGTGTTCACCATGACGCGTGCAGGCCGCGATTACGTGCTGGAATGTGTTACCGTGAATTTTTCGCCTCGTTCGCTTGCAAGGCGTTTCGCAATGCTGTTGACTTTTTTTTCAATGGATCGCCTGGATTTTTAATTCAAATCGAGATTCATAAATTTGCAAGCTGAACGTTCTGCAGGCATCGAGTCGGAAATGCTTAGGCGAACGGGATAATTTGGCCAATAGCTCGAAAAAAAGTGCAACGAACAAGTTGAGTAATTAAAAGCAATTGGGCAATCGACGATCATCCCAACAATTTACCTAACGCTTGCATTAAACATATACCGAAATAGCTTGTAATTCTATCACGGAAAACGCACGAGAGCTTAAATATTCCATATGGCTCTTTCTTCGATTGTAAAACTTTCAATATATCCTCGCCGGAAACACTAACCATTATTCCGCGTTTATTTTTATCATTTGGTTAATTGCAGTTTAATGCCGAATTGCTTTTCGCGCTCGCGATCGTTTAAAAATAAAAAAGAACGATCTTTCACTCGTTTGACATTGGTTCCGCATAAAAATATTAATGATATGATCAACGTGAACGGCGTAAATAATAAAGCGAGAGGATGAGACAATCGCCGCGACCAAATATAAACGATGAAATCATTATTAAGTCGGACACGATTTTCTGCTAATTAATTTCAAATGATTGCTCTTTTAACATTCTTTGGCGTATAGACACACTCGCGGCAATGAACATGTCGCTCGAGGTTCACATTGTCACGTGAGAATTATTCGACTCGCTAGGTGCCTCCGCGCGACAAGAAGTACGGGAATTGATCGATGAACCTGAAAAATGCTCCTGTCGGCAGAGCGCAAGAAAGTTGCCTTAAGGATTAAAGAAAAACTGGTTGAATCGTAGGACTGGCGTTCAAAGGACTTGTTGAGCAGCGACCCCAAGAAACATCGATGGAAAAGGGAGTGGAGGGATAAGGCCATATATAATGCAAAGCGAGCAAGTATCGGATGATTTGCGAAGGCAAGCAGCGCAAGCCGACGAGTGGGCGTTGGTGCGTCGCGCCGCCAAGAAATGAAACGGAGAGGAGCGTCTATACTCGTACACGCGCGCGCTAGACTTGGAAGAAATAAAGCGGCGGCGGCGAGCTTGTTTACGTTCGAGCACGTACGACCATATATACACGCTCTCCGAGCAACGGCGTTCGCCCGACTTCTTTTCCAGCAGAGGAAGTTGACGATTTCAACTCGATTAGACTTGCGAGTCATAGATGTGCGAATATCGAAAGCTCTCCCCTCTGCCAAGCTCAATCACGACGTACTTTTAAATCAATAATTAGCGGATGAAAGTTAACGGGGGACGGAGGATGTTCAACCGAGGCGTGGTTTAAACGGCAATTCGACGATATACGCGCGAATATTCAAATTTATCTTGTGATGTTTACATACTTTCTGGAATGTACCTGACGGCCCTTCTCGTTACGTAAAATACAAATTGTCAAAGTTTATTTACTTTTTCCTTAAGGGTTACACTTGTCGGGCTCGATGTGAGATTGATACTATACTGCCATATAGAGTTTCGAAGGACAATTTTATCCAGTGGAATGTCTGGACCCTTCGACGCGTTTTATTTTTTCCGGAAAAAATGAGTTTTCGTGTTGGTTTTTTTTTTATTTGCTCCAAACTATTCCGATTTATTACGTACTATAGTTTTTCGTCTGCATCGCGTGTGTTGTTGTGATTAGGAATAACAGCCGATTTATTATATTAGCTTTCTATTTCAATGAACGTATTTGAGTATCGTTGGCGATATACCTTTGATTTATATTGTCTCTTGAGTCGAGTGAAAAACAAATTTTTCGCCGTTTATTACCAATTTGGATGGAATGTTGATAAGAGAAAGGTGTTATCGCAATGGTGGTTTATTATCAAAGTGCTAATCAATGGTATAGTAGTCTATGTACACTGTTAAATTGAAAGTTGTACATGAGACGTGAAAAAATTTTGGAGCAACGAAAACGCACAAATTTGGAGCATGGCTACGACAGCATAAATCAACCGATAAAGTTATAAGTCAATTATTATGAAAACAATTTTGATATAGAAAAAGTAGAGTGCAAAAAAAAACCAAATGATTAATCAATCCTCGAAAAAATTGAAACCACAGACACCGAGACGAAGAAAGCTTACTACGCCGCAAAAGAAAGCGACAGAAAGAGACGCCGCTTGAATATCGTCGAAAACACGCTCGAGAGAGAAGCGACGCGCTCACGAAACGAGCAACAGGTGTAAGTATATATGTATACCAAGTGCGATGAAAACTGGCCGGACTACGCGTTGAAACTCAACAAACTCACTTAAAAAAAAACATTAATGAATGTTCGATTTTACTCACGTTCTTGCGATTGAAGCTTAATGTCGGCAAACGACCGAAAAAAACGTTGCACTTTGCTCGTTGATGCTAGCGACTCGCAGGCTGGAGAACGACTGCCGAAGCGTCGTCTTTACGTACACACACATCGCGCGGCGCGTCGCTCGTCCCCACCGCCCATAAGAATGCTCAGGCTTTCTTTTTACCGATTCTCTTAATGGCCTTCTCTCACTCTCTCTCTCTCTCTCTCACTCACTTTTTTTACTCTCCGAGGAAGAAAGAATTTTACTTAAAGGCTATTTTTGCGATTTTACGCGCTCGACTTGCGTTTCTTTGAAGAGGGGTGCGAGTTTTCGCAACTTCGCAATTGTTGCTTGGAATTCATCGTATTGCGCGCATGACTCATTCCCTGGATACATAATTGAACGGTCTGACTGTCTGGACGCTCAGAGTCTTGTTGATATCTATTTAATTTTGTATGCCAGGCATTTTCATTCTTTTCGCAAGCGCGCTTTCGTCAAGTTTATTTTCATGTTTCGCGTGTGTTTTGTTTGTAAAGAACACGTCATACTTCAGTCCATTGTTATTAAAAGTAGAGAGCGGACTACTTTATTTATATAAAAGCTAAGGGGAAATGACAGCTGTAGTATTGTTATTAATTCAAAAGCGATTATTTCTTTGGTAGGCGTAGTTGCCAGTGTAAATAATAAGTTAAAAAAGAGCTGTTTCTAGTGAAATGGAAAGCCATGTGCAAAATGGTTACGATACAAGATGTTTTTAACGCAACTCTTGTTTGACTCCATTAAAATGTGGAAGTATTCGATCGACATCCAAAACGTGTCAAGATCCCTTTGAGTGTGAGTCAACCGTTGGAATTAATTGGACTTCCGTTTTCGAAACTAACATCTCTGTGTATAGCCTTATCGACTTATAGACTTAATTGATAAGAGCAAAACGTTGTGTCATACTTCCTCCTCTCTTTCTATCATAATATCATAACTTTCATTGATACGAAAAACCATTTCTTTTCATCGTAAAATTGAGAAGTTTGCAACAAGCTGTCAATGAAACAAATACAACTGCAGTGAATAATTTCCTCACAGTTCCCACGCTTTTCAGAACGATAATTCGTCGAGCCATCTGTTTCTCTATCTCTTTCCCAACTTCCCGATTCGACTTGGAGAACAACGTTCTGCGTCGGCGTTGGCGTCGTGGTTCGTGTGGGCGCGCGCGACGCGACCAGCAGCGTTGCCAGATGAATTTGAACCAAACTCACCCGCTGTTTTTATCGACGTCCGTTCCAAGATCAAGAGGAAGATTTGGAGAAAAAGCACGGGATGTTGAAAAATTCCTAGCGGCGTACGAACGGCATTCAAGGGTAGGTATAGCTAAGGACGCGGGAAGCCAACAGGAAAATTCTTTGAATTGACCGAAAGAAATTCAAAAGCCTGCTTGCATAGCTTCAATAGACGAGCCGCGCTAAATCTAAATGAGTATAACGATCGCTTTGAAATATGGATTTGTGAAAGATGGTATGCAATGTCATTTATCGAAGGGTTTTTTGAAATATCGCTTGAAAATCAATTAATCTTATGATATTTAAACACAGAGCGCAAATCTTAATCTAAAATACCTATTTGACTTTCTCGATACAAAAGCTTCGATCACAGTTACCCTTCTCAAATTCCCACGTAATGGTATATTCGTTTACCTATTGCGATCTGTATCGTCAGTGTATTTATAATTTCTGGATAGAAATCTTGAAAAACATAGCTGGAATTATAACTGGTATTTTTATTTTTACTTCCTAGGGTTCAAAATTTACATCGCTTCAAAATTTATTCTCGCTTTGAAAACCTTATTTTTCTTAGAATTCCTTCCCCCTGTGAAAAATTTGTATTAATGTTCCAGTAACATAAAAAATATTTATTTTATTTTTCAAGAAAAAATTTGCGTTTTCGATATGGTTAACTATAAGACTACTATATGTGATTGCTGTATTTGTAAAATAAAAAAAATTAAACGATTTGAAAAGATCACTCAGAAAAACTTGTAAACAAATAAAGAACCACGATTTTATTTCACGAAATCTCGAAATTTGTTATGCCTTAAAATACGATCTCGACTAAAATGTCACATTTATTATGGATGTTTCATGAATTGTTAACCAAATTACGACTTTTTTTCTTACTTCAATTTTATGATTCGTGAAAAGTAAAATGAAGCTAATGTACTGAGTAATATTCCTCGCATTATTCTTACTGTCTAAATTATATTAAGAGCTGCAGGATTTGTGATGTATGAAATGTAAAATGAATTTAACAGTTTGTGCAGTACGATATCAATCCATAATTGTTTAGACTATAGCAGAAAATGTATAGTAAAAAGTCTTGTATGTATTCAAAATTGTCTTATTAAGCGTCAACTGCATCGCAAATCTGGCAACACTGTCCTCACACCATAAGCTAAATCGTTGTGGCCTGGCCCTTTCGAGAGAGAGAGAAGCGCAAAGCGCGAGTGTTATTAAAGGCTGGCTGCGATTATTGTGAGCGCGTTTCGCGTGAATAACAGCATGGAGTATAGTCAAATTTAGACGACATCGTTTTCTGCGATATCAAGTGTTTACTCGTGCGACGATAATATCTTAGAACTTCTTATAAATACGGCAATTTCATTTATAAGTTATTTTCGAATACCAGTTTACAAAGTTCAAGTGTTAACAATAAGTAGATTTGTCCTATCTTTATGCCGATAAAAGAATATTTGGATGATTCGGACAAATCTTAAAAAAGACGATTGAGAAATTTAACAAAGGCTTTTAAATATTTCAGATTTATGCTTATCATTAGATATGCTAATAGTTCTTCACAATGTCGTAAAAAAACGTGATAATCTATGCTCTTATGATTTCTTAGGAAAGTTCTAGAAAAGGCGTTTCCTCAACGGTTTTCTCCCCCTTGAAACGGCGATGGCATCCCAAGATAGTTGCTCGAAACAAATAACTTGATGGGCGCGGCCTTATATTTTATACAATACGTTGGGTGAACTAGGATAACGTAAACATGAAGGGCTTTGTACATCTCAGAGAGTATGCAAATCAATATAGCTCGCGATTGATGTGTCTCGACTTTCAAATGGAAATTTTAGTATTTAGGGGAATTAATTGATTGAGATTTGTTTTTACTGACGATTGAATGTGTTTTTCAAATGATGGGCTATAGCCAGAACTTTGCTTTCAAGTTTATTTGGATTTATGTTTTTTCACGTGTAGACACGATGCAATGCGTTGAGAAAACATTACGCTTATATTATGCTTACAAGAATTTAGTTCGTAAATTCTCACGTAATTTTTAATACTTTATCTTCATAATCGACGCTCGCTTGCACTTATCGAGTAAGATATTATCTTATCGACGATTATTTTCCAATTGACTCATCCGGCAACACAACACGCCACTAGAAAAATAATTGAACATCATCGAATATAGTTGCACTAACGCAGAAAATGAGAAAAAAATCAATGGCCGATCAATCATTACTCATTCGCAGGTTGTTTATTCACTTCGGCTCAAGTTTCTATTTATAAAAGTGAGGAAGAAGGCGAAACGCGTAGGAGAACGATCTTTATACTCAAGGCATTAACCATGGGTATATGTCTTTTGTATATTGTGCTCGACAGTTTCTCGCAAACTCACACGCACAACTTGATACACTTGGCAAGGTAGTTTTGTTAAGCACGTTTTTGTTCTGTCTATACTATTGCGTTGTATTAAATAATTCCAGTGACAAACATTTCAATTGACCTTTTTTTAAATATGTGCAATTTATTTTTACAAATAAAAATAACCATCTATCTCAGATATTCAATTTATTTTAAATCACGCTTCTCAAATGATTCTTTAGTTCACGAATGCAATTTTATTTTTAATCTCAGTCGTTTTTTTGATCTAAATTATAGAAGCTGAATCGATTGCATTCACTCTCAAAAGTCCGAACAACGAAACTTGCAGATTTCTAGAATTTGATTATATAAAGTAAATTAGCATCATGACATAGTTATGACGATTTAATCTTGAAATTGTCGGTAACTAATTTCTCATTGTTTCATTTTACAGTTGGACGAAACAAGTCATTTAGACTGTCCTCGATGATACCATCCCAAATTATTTCGCATAAGCCGAGGTATAAATATACGTTGTATACTATTTAAGATCTTTTTCGTCATATCATATCTTCTACGACCTGATAGATATAAAATCATAAAGCTGATAAATAACTATAAAATAAATCTCTTATATTATATAATAACACCCATTCAAAACTAAAACAAGATCCATTCGAAGATTGTATTTACCACAATCATGACATCATCACGTTGATTAGGTGACGTCAGGTGTAATGTCATTACTCCCCTCGAAACTCTGATGCCACGGTCACTTCGCGCGACGCCGAAGGCCACGACGAGACGTCATCGCTAAAAGATACACCTATCTTTTCACTTTCGACAAGAATGTGCTTTTGAACTAGCATGACCTCTTAACATAATTAATTATGCGATGAAACATGTCTATATTAATTTGGTTTGTTTTGATGCTATGATGTATATCTAAAGATCTCGCGTTCTTTTTTAGTTTTTTAAATTGTAATTTATGTCAATATTATATATTATTAGACATTACTTTTATACCAACAGTTAGACAATTAATAAAGTACGCGTAATGAAGTATTTGTGATGAAAAGATAAATGCAATGCAAATCAGCTGTTTTCACTTATTTTCAAAAGTGAAAGGTAACATTGAAATTATTCATTGTTTTATTCAAATAACAAAGTGTGTAAACTTACCGCACAGATGTAGTATTTAGTATAGTAGTATTCTAGTAATTTCGGATCTATTTAAAGTAGTCAAATTGAAAACGATGATTTGTAAGAGTATAATCAAGAGTTTAAAGATGTCAATCTAAATACAACGAGCAGGCGTGATTGCACTCTTTGAAAGTGAGCTATTTCGAGACAGCAGTTTCCAACGTGAAAGAAGGATGACAACGATTCAAGTTCTGCCTCTTTATTAAGAAATCTACATAACTTGAATTACTTGAAATTCGTGAGTAAACTTATCTACGCGTTTCTGAGCTTTTAAATAGCGATGACAATCAACGCAGCAACAGTACAGAATAACTGGATCACTTTCTATACCCTGCAAAAAGTTAAAGTATTTTATGGTTTCCGAACCAATAATCAGTTAATATTTTATATTGTACATGAATTGAAATGTGTTTTGTACGTTATTATATGTTAATTCTTTTTTTTAGGAATATTGTTATTTGTTATGGCCATAGTTTTATTAAAATATTGCTTTGTAATGAAATAATTTAAAAAAATACTATAGTACGTTCAAGAAAGAAACTAAAATAGCAGCTGCTAATAATGTACCGACACTGGTTGAAAGTTGGAAACAAACTCCTAGATGGCAGAAGTAGTCAAAGTATTTTTCTAATGTTAATCTGTGGTGGTGATATGGCTATATAATGTATACAGTTTATGCCAATAAAAAAACATTATATATATAATATTAATGGTAATCTGACAATGTATTTATTTTTATGAGTCAATAAAACTACTATTTACCTATAAAATGTTAACGGATTAAAATTTAATATATTAATTAATAATCTAGAGTGTGGGCCATTTTATAAGATGTACCCAGATTACTCCGCCCAGTTAAACTTTCGCAAAAAATGTTTCTTAAATAGAAGTTACTTAGCTTCGAGGGAACATATTTTGATGACCTTACGTTTGACTTCGGAAGTCATGTTCAAGGATATTTCAAGGTCAATTTTATTTTTTTTAATGGAAACCCCTATTTTTTACTTTGAATCCAGGAAAAACGGGAAATTCTAAGTTTAAATAATACAACCCAGTTAGGGTCGGATTAATCCTCAAGATCTTGTAGAGTCAATTTTATTTTTATATTCTTTCTACCCTAATGCTCGTGCAAAGGTAATGTTAAGCGTAAAATTCTCTAGACCAAGTTTACGCCACTTTGAGGGTTACATATTTCTATGACCCTGCCTTTGACCTAGGAGGCCATGTTCAAGGTCATTTCAAGGTCAATGTTTTTCAAATGAGAATCTCTATTTTCGATTACGTGAAAATTACGATGTTAAAAATTATATTAATGCTTAATTAAACTTGGCCAAAAATGCCTGATTATATTCGTAATGAAATAGTTGGTATTTTGTTGATGTTCGGTGAATGTCATTGTAACTATCGTGCAACAGCGAGATTGTATCGAGAACGGTTCCCGAATAGATGTCAACATCCATCAGATACCACAATTGCTAGGATAGAAAGACGTGAAAGGCACAGACGTGGAGTACGGCGACAACGACGTCGTGTTAATGTATCTGAAAAAGATCATGTAATAGTCTTAACTGTGTTAGCATTGATACATTTGAACCCGCATTTGTCTACACGTTAAATTGTAGTGCAATCAAACATTCCACATAGCACAGTTCAGAGCGAATTTCAGCTATTCATCCATTCCATCCTTATCACATAACGTTAATTCAGAGCTAGATGTCTGAAGATTTCCAAAAATTTAATTTTTTCTGATGAAGCAACGTTCCATAGTGACAGTCAATTGAATCGATATAACATTCATTATTGCTCAGCAGAAAATCTAAACTGGCATCGTGAAATTGATCAACATTAATGGAGTCTTGTAGTTTTGTGTGGAATTGTTAATGGCTATATTGGACCTTACTTTTTTTATGGAAACGTAAATTTGCAAAGATATCTACATTTTTTATGACATAATGTTTCATTTTTTAGAAGATATTGACTTGTTAACTAGGTAGACATTAAACATAATCTTCTGCTTTGTAATAAAAGTAATATCACTTACTTTCTTTAATTGTTAAAAATGAATGTACAAATGGTTTGTATTTGTATTATTTTAATTTTTGATTCTTGAGTTTTTATCAACAAAATGTCGATTCACCTGTAATAAAAAGTAATATTAAAAAAAAATATCTTAACTTCACATTTCTCAATTAAATCACATAAGATAAACTTCAATTTTCCACTCTTTCCGTAGTCGAAATAAAAGGTTCTTATTTATAAGAAAACAAAGTTAACCTTGAATATGATCTTTAAGACAAATGAAAGGTACTGAGGAAATGTTACCTGTTGATTCACTTTTGTCTCAAATCTTTTTCACTAATTGCCGGATACCAAGAACATATTAAGGAACAAAATAAAACTAACCTCTACATAATCTTAAGGGTCAATCCGACCCCGACTGTGTTAACTTATTTGAATATACAATTTCATTCCCGCTCTTTCCGAATCCAAAGTAAAAAATTAGGGGTTCCCATTTAAAAAATCACAGATGACCTTGAAATGTCCTTGAACACGATCTGCAGGTCAAAGACAAGGTCATCAAAATATGTTCCCTTCGAAGCCAAGCAATTTCTATCTAAAACATTTTTCAAGAAAGTTCACATGGGGGGATTAATCTAGGTGCATCTTTTAAAATGGACCACCCTGCGTAGTAATAATTTTCATCGACTAACATTAAGTAATAGACACTTCATTTATTTTTACAAAATTAGTATCAACAATGCAACAAATAATCGAAATTCTGTTAGTTAAAAAAATATCTTAAAATGAAACTGTACTTGAGTAGAAGCTCTTGTTGATGGCAATGGTGATATACTGATTCGATCTATATCGTACATTCCAGAGCCGTTTTTTTGTGATCGCGGACTATGAGTTGGCCGCGGACTTCTACTCTTCGATCGTGAACACGTGCAACGATGTTTATTCACATTAGCGCGAGATTTACCCATTTCTCCACTAGAAAAGGACCTGTTTTTTCTTTGCTGCAAAATGATTCGAAATGCAGATTTGACGAAGCAAATGTAGCCGCTATATGACGTAATATTTATGAATTGATTTGTACTTAATTATTTACTTCACGCACCCACATATAAGCATCCAATAATATCCAAGCTGGAATAAAATACAGTATCATGCCGAAAATTGAAACTATACAGAGGACAAAATTGTGGATAAAAATTGGATGTGTTAATAATTCCTCATCTGAAACTTCATTCAAGTTAATATGCTTTTCAGCGTGTCGCATTGCCCAAATTCCACCAATTATGATCAAAATTCCACCCAATCCATTGCCCATTAAAGCCTACAAGAAAAACAAAATTTCCTTGTCACGTTAATTTGTATACAATTGAAAATTTAGTATCGTCGATCTCGTATTAGCAAACAGATTGATTAGTCAATCTCGAGCGGACCGATGTTGTTAATTTACTTACTATTAATGGCCTTCTATTGAAAATTTTAGTGCACAGCCAACCAATGAATAAAAGAAAACTAATCCCCATGCAAATGGGGTACACAAAAAAGATTGGGTTTCTTTCTTCTGGCATGCTAGGAAGATTTGGATTAGTCTTTCGCATTTTCCTGTTGATCGCATGATGTAAATGGTGAAATGCTTCATCCGTTAATGCTGTGAGCTAATATATTTTAAATAAAAATATTAGTTTGCAAAATACAACTCTAACTATATGTCAATATTAAGACGAATTACGAAAAATTTTAGTTAGCATTATTTAAATAGTGATTTTTTTCAATATTACAAAACAGTTATCAAAGTAAAAAATTTAAATACATTTTTCCTTAATTTGTCTTTTTTGTTGTCTAAAATATATTTAAAAAATTTAATCTTTTGGGATTGACTATGCTTGCGCAGCTAATGAAAGACTAGGATCTGGCTTGCGGAGGGGATAGGGCACAACATGCTTAGGAGAAAGTTGTTCTTTTATATATTAATAATAATAATAATAATAATAATAATAATAATAATAATTGATAATAAAGAAATTTCTAAATATATAAGCGAATTCAAATTACAGATGATGTATTAAAAACATGCAAATAAAAACAATTTTAACAAAATTTTTCAATGTGCTTGTCTAAAGACATATTATCTAATTATTAGGTAAATATAAGTTCATTTATAAATTTCTTTCATTATTATTATTACTATATCAAATAAAAATAGAGCTCTGACTTTGCTCTTTGCCTGTATTAACCCATTAATGCCCAAAACGGGAAAAATCGGCGCCTTATTTATCGAATAAATTTCATACTGTTATATACATATTGTAAAACGACTGTACTTATGTTTTAGGAGTCGTTCTATAATAGAGGTCATGAAGTCAAAATTATGATTCGATTTAAAGAAAATTTATATTTTTAAATCAATTTTTCGATAAAATTTTGATGTTTATGTTAATCAAAATGGTCACAAAGTGACACAAATTTCTTAAACTTTTAAAATATTGTTAGCGGTATAAATGGCGGTCGAAATGAAATATTTTTTTTAACTTCACAAGCATTTTTCTTATCAGGTTTTGAAATTTCATTTTCCTGCTTTTTGAAAAAATCTAAAATTGAGTCAAAAAATTCTGAAAAAATGTAAAAATGATCCTTACTGAATTGTAAGGATGATGGAGACAGCCACGAGAGAACATGTGATAAGGGCAAAGGCGCCTATGCTTTAACATTGGATAGGATCACCGCTACCAATTTAAGATAAATGAAATCAAGTTCCTGTTTTATTTGTATATATACACTTGACTGCATATACCCCAATCAAAATAGATTATTATGTAACAAGCTATTGTTCTAGTATTTGTTAATCGATTAATTTTTTTATTTGTTATCAAATTTACGAGTGTTAAAATGAAGTGAAGATGTGGCAACGTTGCATCTGCTCAGAATTGGTTTTCTTATGTTGCCTATAGCTTTTCGTATATGCGTGTATGTGTATCATCTGATAGAGCATGAAAACACGAGTGTGAGGCAGCTGCATAACTTCAAACGGTTGTTCCTTTGAAACTATTTTCGTTGAGATTTCATAATTTATAAAGAATAATGCCTGATAAATACCGGTGGAAGGGTAAGTTCATGTCAGCAACTCAATACAGACGCATGCAGCATCGTTTAGAATGCGGAAAAAAGAGAAAAGGTTGTACAAAAAAAAAACGAGAGAAGGCGACGAGGCAACATGTCATGTCAAAGGCAAAATAAAATATTGTGATTTGAATCATTCATACAATAATGTAGGCAGTATGCTTTACCAAATTCAAAAGCAATCAGATCCAGACAAAGAACTATCAGGAGTTATTACAAAACATATCCAACGCTGCTCTCCGTACGCTGTTCAACAGAAAAAAGTGATGTCAATTCTATTGACGCTGCATTGAAAAATGTACCATATCACTTATTTGACATGTACATGCAAAATTCGATAAAATTTATTGATGCTTAAAGTAGTCAGGCAAATGAGAGTCTTAATAATGCAATGTACCACAAAAATCCAAAAGGTTTATTCATGAGTTTGTCAGAATCTACAGATCTGTCGAAAAAATAGTCAATATGCTAGACAACCGCGATAATACGTAAAAATTATTATTTTCATTTGCTCCTATAGATGGTTTTTATAAAACCTCGTATACAAAAGCATCTAGCTTCGCCAGGAATTAGTTATTGTTATATATTATATCAAGTTATTGTGGACACAAATCTCAAGGGGTTGAACAAGTAACCAAATTGTTACAAGAAATGGTTCATGGAAAACCAAGAAAGTTCTCTCAGATATTTTATTCTACATTTTGAAAATGTTATGTTGTATAACGATTTTAGTTGACGCGCGGCGTAAAAATACTTACTTTATTGTTACTTGAATTAAAATAGTTCGTGAGTGCGAAAAAAAACTTTAACATACACGTAATGAAGTGTATCTATAACCAAAACTGAACTAAAAAATTGTACTTACAATAGAAAATATATAGTTTCAAGAGCTTCAATCTATGATAAATTGATTATTTCCGTATGATTTTCGATTCACTTTGTTACATTTATTTGCTAAACTTGTAACTTACGAATTGGGAGGCATTTAAAACAGCATAGACAACGTGTGAAAGCTTGTCATTTCTCGTGAATCCTCGACGATTTGTCAGCTGGTCATTTGCTAATTGCGCTGCTTCTTCAAGTCTTAAAAGTTCTAAAGCTGTTGCTTGATCATTACTTAACGTAAATTTGTTTTCGTAGCCTTTCATTTTCAGCAAACATACATAAAATATATAATTGTTTCTAACCTTTCTGGTACATAACAATTTTTCAGTTGTTTATGTGATGGTATTTACTAATAGAAAACAATTAATTAATAAGTAAATAATCGATTCATGGACAAAATAAGGTTTCACAATCACAGTTCCAAAATCACGAATTCATGGTCGGAGAATTGGAATCACATTGAATAAAATCTTACATATATAATATTTGAAATAAGATTAACAATGATGATAAGGGCATGATTATAATTATAGTCAATTGAAGTTATTAAAATATCAATGATTTATAGATGCACATATATTTTATATAAAAGGGATACTCAAGCAAAACGGGAGTACTACCGGGAAAGCCGGTACTCCCTTTTCATAAAAATTTTTTTAATTTCGTTTCAAACGAACTAAATACGAGGGTCATTCAATAAGTCCATAACTTTAAATAAAAAACACTATTTATTTGTCAGTTATCTTTTTTTTGCATTCATTTTAATAGGCGAATGCTGATTGAACGTTTATTGGCAAAATTGAAAATCCAATGTTATATTCAATAATGATGTTATTTATGGGTAAATAAATATACAGTTACGTTGATACTCATGATTGAAAAATGTTATAGCAATGAAGTTTTAAGTTTTTATCATCCAAAGTTCTGTGTTGTAAAATCATGATTCAAAAGTGTAAAATACACGATAAAAAAAAGTAATATAAGTTCTAAAATTATTATAGTTCTCTCTAATTATATCCTTGACGATAAAATAACGTACTGCGGTAGACATTCATAATTTTGTATTTTCAAAAGAATTTTTAGATATTTTACGTAATTTAATAAAAGTGAAGTCACTAAAATATTTTATTACATGATAATCCATCGATTTATATCTTTTATTGCCTACTTTGTTGATTTGTAGTTAAACTTTCGCATAGAGAAAAGTTCAATACATTCCTCTATCGAGGTATCAAATAGTTTTTATTTCCAAGTTAATATGATTAAATCAAACAATTTATATTATACATCATTCACACAAACACGCATATGGAGAGTAGCCTATAAAAGCTGATCGCGTGACAATCTTTCAGCCAATCAGGTTACGAATAAACTGGCTTCATTTTGACGTTCTTTTTTTATAATAAATTAAGAAAGAAGATGATTTATCGTTTTAAAATAACTAACAAGTTTTCATAATTTAGTGTTATCTTCCAAATGTGATAAATTTTAGTGTTAGTCAAAGTTTGTAATCTTTGCAAATAGAAAAGAGATAATTTTTATTTAATAAAAATTGAATTTTATATCAACATCAATTTGCATACTCAATATTGAGGAATTCTCAATTGTAAAACAAACTTTCGTGGCTCTAGAATGGTCAAGATAAGTATAAACATAAAGTACTAAGACAAGTTTATATAATCGGCAAGATCCCTTCCACGATAAAGGTACAAGAAAAGCACGAGTAGAGAGAATTATTGACAGAAGCGCTTGTTGCGTTAACATGAGAAGTGTTCAACGTGTGTACACAAGTTTTCTTGGTGATATACATTTGAATGACATTGAATGCTAGCTATAGAACACAAAAGAGGTAATCATCGGCTTTTTTATAAGTTATTTTAAAAGGTCGATTGAACGTTTACAAACAATGAAGTTAACTTATTCGTTATATAGAAACGTCTATGTAGAATGGCTTCCTTTTTTAGAAGTTTTAATTAAGTGAAATATCATCAACACCAGGCTATTTTTCAGTACATTGTTCACAAGAATATCATATAGCTCTTGATCAAAGAAGTAGTGTCTTATAAAGTAGTTGGATCATCGATTCATCTGTAACTTTGAAAAATTTTATTTATTCATATGAATATAATACTTATTTTTTCTATATAGTTACAGTTTATTTTCAAATAAAAGCTTATATTAAATATTTGTATCTTGTTTCATTTTGTAAGAAGTCATGTGTTTTGATCGGTTTAACAGAAGTACGTAAATATGGACTGTAAATATGAGAAATTTTAGTATTAGACCGAACGGTTATAATTTCTTACATATTTTTCTTTGGGAGTAAAGAGATTCCTTTAAGTTTTACAACTCAGAAATGTTACTGCATGTGTTATTAATGCTCTCTCCTTGTTAATAAAGTAGAATTCAATTAGGCATTAGAATAAAAAAACTTCCATAAAAATAATGGAAAATATCGTTTAAAAATTTGAAAACTAATAAAAAAAATTAACGTATTATTGCAATTAGTAGACATGTCTACCTATTTAAAAAAATAAACCGAATGAACAATCTATCAAGTTATTCTACATCTATATGACTAGATAGAAAAATTAGTAAATTATTAGCAATATAGTTTGTTATTATCATAATTATCCTGATGTGCTAAGAACATTACACTTTACTGTTCTTCGCATGCTTTCATTTGAATTGATAATTTGAAATAAAAATCTTGAGTTTCCCAATTGAAAATTTTAATGAAAGCACGTTGAAATGAAATGGAAATTAGACGGTTTTTTGTCTGCGATTGAAAACAAATAATAAGCGATATAATGTACTCAGTAAAAACGATGTTGATTACAATTTATAGCAAATCAAATTATTATACTCGCTTTCTACTTCTTCTGCAAGCGCATGGTCATATCGATCAATATATCACGATAATTGAATCAGGAAAAAGTATCGCCCGGAAATAGATTGATTAATTAAAGTATATACACTTGCTGGCATATTCTTTGTAGGTATGGAAATCAGCTAATACCAATAAAAGTGTAGAGACGTGAGGCATTACGAGCAAAGTTGTGCATACCACATTTTTTACGATCGTAGCGTACGTCTGTGTGCACGCGTTCACACGATTGTTAAAACAATGTATAGAACCAAAAGACCAGGATTGAACATTAATATGTACCTGCTTGCGCATAGCTGTGTAAAAAGTAGTCATGGTAGTGCTGCCGAAATGTATATACCAACAAAAAGAGACCTCGGATTTTTATCGAAGCTTCTTTTTCGCTGTGCCTCGGCGAATTTTGAGCGGAAACATTGGAGGGACTGATGGACGAGCCAAGCGTGCCGACCCTCAACCATAGTGCATTGCAGTTTCGAACGTCGAGGCACATTATATAGGTGGAGTCTTGGTCGGTCTTCGCCACCGCCTGTCTTGGACAGTTGTTTTTTATATTGTGCCGCGGCTCGACGCGCCGAACGCTTCAGTCTCCCCTTCGCGTGTCTACAGTTAAGACTCGCTGTATAATTGGCCTGAATACCATTTTATTGTTCTTTTCTTTTTCCTTTAATTAACATCTACTAATGTCGGTCGTGTGACTAGAACAATGCGCCGTTTTCTACTTTCGGCCATATAGAACTTTGGGGAATCTGCCGGTAGGAGGTGATTGTGAAAACGCGTTAAATCGACAGCCGGAATTTTCGCGAGGACGACGTTTTACATTCTTTTCAGCTCCTCGCAAAAGAATTCTCGCGAGATCGTTGTAATAACGACGCAATCGAGAAAGACATCTGATCTGCTTCCTCGGGGGGACACAGTATAATTATTTTTGCTCAAGTGCGCGTAGCGAAAAGACCGAGGATATAACAATTGTGGGAGTGCTCGGGAGTTTTCCAAAAGACACCGGCACACGCCTCTGTTTGTTTACGGGCGCTTTGCTGGGCGCCAGTGCGTACTCGCCAGAGCGTTAAGAAGCACTTCTTTTTCAGTGGTTGAACGCGCGTCAAGAAAAGCAGGCTTTGCCCTTGGAGTATTCGGGTAGACGTGGAAAATCTGCTTTTTTTTTAGCTATGATGAATACGGTGCTGCTGTTGTTTCTTGGTTTCAGCCTTGTAACTAATTTAGCTACAACTAGGGTGAGTTTACTATCTTTTTCGGAGTAACTTTTACTGTACAATATTTTATTTCTTATTTATGAGTAAATTTTCTTTTCGATTTTCAGGCCGAGTTGAGTGTAAGTATGCCTGATTAGATGTATCAGTCGGTATTATTTTACTGCGGTGCGTAGCCTTGAAAATAAAATAAGTTTGCTTGATAAAAAGTAACACATTATAGGTATAATGACAATATCAATCAAACGCTATGTAGTTTTTCTTTCTCAAGTAGAATCACTTCAAAAGTGCAGCTTTAAAAGAAATTACGATGTATTTTTGTAAAAAGCAAATCTTTTCCAGAGGTCAGATTAGAGAAAATGTGAAGTATTTATACTTTTTACGCAGGAAATTCATTGCTAAATTATTGCAACAAGTAGCAATGCACATACTTCTACTATATACACTTTATAATTACTATAATATATTAATAGATTTAACTATTTTATTTACGTACTGATATTCCTTGAAACGATTATAACATATTGCTAACAATCGTTATTTCACTATTTGTTTAGGATGAAGCTATCCAAGAACTGATTGATGAAACTGAACGCGAGATACAAAAGGTAATTCTATACAATAGAGAATGGTAAATTTCTTTTTGAAATTTGATTCTATAAGTTAAAATTTATTGTCAATTTTGATTGATTTTTTATTTATCATTTGAAAAATGCAGTATACAATCGTCTAATGCATTAATATAAATCTATTTTTATAGTATCATCTTACAAATACGAACTTCGAAACGGATTATTGTGAGGGTCCAAGTGTACCTAATGGAATACTCCGTCAATTGTGCAAGGTAACATTTTGATCTATTTATGTAATGTTATAACATTAGCATAAATAAGAAATAATAGTATTTAAAATTTATTCTTTCATAGAATCTATTGCAACTATATCTCGGCGACCATGTGTCTTCGGTACCTGGATTTAAAACCGTTCTTTATAATTTCGCTGCTGGTAAATTGGTGTAGAGGTAATTCAGTATAGTATTTTCTTATTATACATTGAAAAAGCTTTATTTTTTGTCCTTAGGAAAAATGTAAAAGTTACAATGAATTTTTCTTATTTTTAATTTTTACCTAACACAGTTTTTTTTGTAAAAATTTTACAAAAAACAATTTGTTTCTGACAATATTCTTCATTTTTTGTTGGTATTCGAATATCTTAATTCAAAATTTGTGTCAACATTCGGTTAAAAATTATTTTTGTTATTCAAATGTTATACAAAACATAAAAGTTGAATACTTGCGATCCGCGTTCAGTTTTGCTGATGGCATTTATACTATCTATTTATATAATAAAAAATCGTTCTTAAAGGAAGTCACATGATTATATAAATTGATTACAATAATATTCTTCATCGTATTTATTATCGATAAATAAATTGCATTATAACAAGACTTTGGTTAATTTTATTGTAAAAATATCGTTGTAAAATAAAAATTGCTAAAGCAATAAAGCCAATATATCAAGGAATCTAGTATAACAGTGTAATATTACCTCAAACAGTGTACCTTTGCTTCGTTTGATGTATTACAAGATTCGATTCAAGGTCTCGGATAGAAATAACAAGTATTTATTGTTAATGTATTGTTACGGTAAATGCAAAGAATCGCATGTGTCATACAATTGATACATTACCCCCGACATGAAAAGAATTATTTGCACGCCATTCCTACGTAGGTTACATCACTTAATAGCAAAAAAGCGCTCTATCAAACTGCACGAAAAATGTAACATTGAATATCATTTATGTACTTGCGATAATTATATTAAATATACCATTAATAAAAAATACATCTCTTTGTGATTCAATCACTTAGAAAAATTGGATCAATAAATAAAAATATTATAGCTAATGGTATTTTTAGTTTATAAGATAAGAAATCTATAAATCTACTGAATTAATGTGGATTCTTATTTTTTTCTAATAGAAAGATAAATTAGGAACTAATGTTTGTTAAGCCTTAGTTAAGCAAATATGTTGAGCATATTATGCCTCGATACGTATACAAGATAAAATACTTATCAATTTAAAATAAGTTAATATGAAGAAGGAAAAGATTTATCTGATTAAATAAAATAAGAGAAGCCAACTTTTTCATTTGGTGTTTTTACTGTTTAACGTCTCAAAATAATACTGAGAACGACTAGCCCTTAAAGAATTTTATAAAAATTATTTTTTTCAACGACTCTCTCACACGTTCTACATATTAATCTTTTAAAAAATGTCGTAAAATGGAGATAGAAAATATGTCATCTATGCGAGGTCAGCTCTTCAAGACAAATAAACACGTGCATAATACTCAATTTTTTTGCGACAAACCGCGCAAGTCGTCAAGCTTGGAGCGCATTTCAAGCACGAGACTATATGGCCACAAGGCACAAATACAACACCGAGCACATCGTCATAGCATATTTTACAAATAGTTGCATCATCCAGCAATTTCTCTTCAGGTTCTTCAGATTTTCTATCTCCATTGGTACTCGTGGTCCGTAATGAATTCTCTGTTTTTGCTGCAATGTTTGCGCGAGGTGTAGGTACTGGAGGTATATTACTAATTCCAACAACGTCTTGACCAACCATTGTTTGTCCGTTTGATTCTTCAACAGATTCACGTATTTGTAGTACTGACGGTTCAAGGGTTTCAACATTGTTTACGAGTGCCACGTTTTCTAATGCCTGCAAATTTTTAATAAAAAATTAATACGAAAAGTTGATTTGGCAATTCAATTTGTAAATTTTTACCGCTTCTAGCGGAGGTATCGCATCTTTCCCAACAGCATTGTCAATAAACTCTTGGCCCTTAGTTGCCACAAGTGAACATGTAGGACGCCACTTAGCATGTTGAACCCATGGATCATCCTGTGGCTCCCAAGATTTCAAAGCAACGCCACACTGATAACATGCAGTCATATCTCCACGCCCAACGTAATAAAGTCCAGCCTCAGCAAGTTGCTCCTTTGTTTGAGACATGGAAATTGGCCAGTCATCGAAACTTTGTAATCTAGCGTCGTAAGTCGCGTATTTGGGGAACTTTGGACGTTCTTCTCCGAATTCCTTTGCTCCATCATTATCGGCTTCAGCATTCATTCTGTACTGCAGAACGTAAGGATCATAAGTGTCGCGACTACGTGGTCGTGGTACTGGAATACTATTGGAGTCAACGCCAATTGGTACGTTGCCACATGGTATCTTGCGAATAAAATAGCAACGACCGTTCCAACGTTGATGTAGTGTCATTGGATCTTCGCCTTCCTCCCAACGGCTGAATTCTATGTGACATTCAAAGCAACGGACACTGTCGTTTTTACCTGTGTAATAAAAACCAGCGGCAGCTAAGTCCGAGGGTTGGACGTATGGAGATGGCCAATTCTGGTAGCTTTGTAGTCGAAGCTCTTCGAATCTAAAACATTTTAATAGTCGTTTAATAACGATATATAAACGTCTTCGTATTGCAGCAATAGTTCAACTAATGAACTTTTAATGGAAAAGATAAGTATTGTAATTTTTAATCTTTGAAAAAGATATAACTTGTATTCTAAAGGTAATAATTAATAAATAATTTGACTTTAATGAAAGATAGCATTTTTATTGCAATTCATATAGAATTTTCGTACGTGTAGGTTTATCTAAATTACAGTTACCTGTAATCGGTTCTTCCGCCATTATCAACTTCATTTTCATCTGATTGAGGTGGTGTTGGTATTCTAAAGGCAAGAGTTTGTCTCAAAAGTTGTGTAAGTTGATTAACTCTTTGATCCAGCAATATTTCTACTGTATTTCCTTCACCTGGTCTCAATCCATTACAATTTGTCTAAAATGTTTACAAATATTTATTTAACGAATACGAAAATATTGAGTGTTAAAAAAAATAAGAAATACAAATTAAAAATCTATTCATAGAATAAACCAAGAAACGGAATATCAATTATTAAAAAATTTAAGATTTAACGAGATTACAAATATACACGTAATACCGAAGTTATCTATCGTCACTTCGTGCGTTTAATTTTTTAATTATTACAATAGAGTTTCTAAAATAAATGTTACAATTATTTATGAAATTTTGTAACAATAAAAAATATATCTTCGTAAGGCTTATTACATTGTTACTGCCAAAGCAACGAACTTTCTTCAAATTATGTAATGTAATACTTAATTCTAATGACTTCTGTTAATGAATTATTATTTTAACAATAATATTAATTTTCTTTCAAAACACAATACCATTGCTTGATTGTTACAAAATCGTATAAGAGTGAACTCAATTATTTCATATAAAAAATGTTAATTATTCGATCTGCGTAGTATTTCCAACATATTGATTGTAATCAATTAACAAATAATACATAAGAACTATAAAATTCTTACCGAATCAGTGTCAAGGCTATTGGCGCCTCGGTACGCTTTCACCGTCACCATATTCTGCTGTGAAAAAAAACTTCCGTATTTCCGTTAATTCAGGCGACGCCTCTAGTACTGAACCAGGTTAGATTCATTCCACGATAAATACTCGAACAAGATTAGCCATATGATTGAGTTGATCTTGCACGGGGAAGAACTATATAACGATAATGTCACGTGTTTATCTAGAAACTTATCTGTTTACACTCGTCTTGCACAACCTTTGCCAAAAAAAGCACTCAGATGTATGGAAGAGGAACGAACACGCACGTAAACTACGAGAAAATATCGTGTAAACAAAGCAAACGGGATAGACACTGCGTGCAAGTGTGAGGGCGATGGTGGGATTGGTGGGAGAAAGATAGATAGCCCCTTATATTCATTTGTCACGTAGCTGGCGCCCTCGTGCGGATTTTCCGATTACGGTGCACTTAAGTCCTATTCAAAACTCTGCAGCAAGCTTAATTGACTTATATGCAGAATTAAAAAATGTCGAAAATTGCTTTCCTAGGAAAATTTTCCTAATTTACATCCTTTTAAGAATTAAATTAAATTAATTTACATTCCTTTTTAGGAAAATTATTTTCCTAATTTACATGTCTTGAAAAGAACTTTTGTCAGTCAAATAGTGAAATGATTTTCCGTTTATGATAAAATGAATAATTTGGGTTTGAACTAGTAACTTTAAGTTAAGATGAATTCTTTATACTGCAGTATGAAGACGTTAAAGACAACAATTTTCATGTACATTTTACCGTTTGCTATTCATTTGCAATGAAATTGATTTTTTTTAGTACAATGACGTTTAAAGATTTTTTGATGAAAAAATCGGAAGTGACGAAATTTCATAGTAACTTCCATTTTCTTCGTTTACACCTGGCACGTGCCATACGAGTGACGTGCAGCAGCTGGGCTATGGCATCGAATAATGTTTTCTTTTTTCGGTCACACTGTATCTTATAAAAGCCCCGAGGCGTGTTGGTCTGTCCTTTGTGTCCAAAGCATGTAGACTTACGAGAAACAAATTTTGCTCCAATCGAAGTACCAATAGCTACTTTTTTTTGTGAAGTATTTGAAAATGTTCTCTTCTTTTTCTTTTTAAAAAGGGCATGGCATTTTTTTTTTCGACACTCCGTGCGGAAAGTGCGTTTTTCCCGCACGCTCAGCAAAAAGCGTGCGTTGAAAATCGCACTTTCCACACGTCGTATCAAAAAATACGGTACGGCACATATTCGGGAAAGAGTTTCTCGTTTCGCTCGGGCGTAAACGCCACACGAGACAAGAATCTATTTTCCCGCACTTGTATCGTAATGTACTATATTTAGACTAAAATTTAATTTTACATGATTTTAGAAGTCTAAATATGTGCTACCTGGTTTAGGTTTTGTTGAAATTTCAATCGATCAGTGCAACAGATGAAATATATAGTTATATATAATTTTTTATTATATTTTATTAATATAAAATCTATAAACTAATGGTGCCAAAGACATACGCCTTGGAAAAACGAATGATGTTAATGCAAACGTATAAACACCAGAATAAACGAAGATGTAATGACTCATATTGTGTGAAAATATCGTTTTCCAGAGAGTACGCATATGGCTCGTATATATTTTGTACATTAAAAATTGAAAAATTCTAAATATACATTTGAGAACATGTATTTCTAGTAAATAGAAATAATTAAAAACTTTAGTTTCTGATATTAACAGACATGTATAGAAAAAATAAACATATCCGGTTAATTACTAGATATTTTGATCCAACATATTATCACCAGTAATTTTTTTTTAAATTAAAATTTAAAAAAATGCATATCTTGGCAATATTCTGTTTGTTAAAAGAAGATATTCCTTAAAATGTACATATATTTTATAAAAAATACAAAAAATGTGCAAAAGGCTATTTTAGTATGTGAGATGGTTATTATATTGTCAAATATGGTGATAATATCTGCGCATTCCATGTTAATAATTGAAGAAAATGATTAGATCTGATAATTTTATTAAAGTTTCAAATTTAGTTTAATATTTTGAACGATGTATTTCAGTGACTACACATTTTGGAAAATGAAGTATACCGAATGGTTATTCTCAAAATAATGCGAATAAATAATTAATACGTACAATTAGTTTCCTTCAACTTAAAGGAAACTTATTATACGTATTAATTACGAATAACAGAAACGGCTAGTTAAAAATGAGATACAACGTTCAGTTTGTTTTTTTTCAAATTCAATACACTTTTTCATCGGAAACATATAACTTATAATACTGTTTGACTAGACAGCATGCGTATGTTACAACGTATCGAAAAACTGTTTAACAAGTAGTCATTTGAACTGCAAAAATTGCAACATTTCTAATTTAGTTTTACATACATCTAAGCAATGAATAAATTCGTTTTGTAGTGAAAAAAAATTCCCACCGATTATTAATCAAAATAACAATAAGTTTAGAGTCAAAAGATTTCAGTTAATGAAAAGAATAACGAATCACTTTCGTGTTCACAGTTGAAGACTGTCGCATTACGCATGCGCCGTGTCAGATAAATGTCTCCCAAAAACTTTTGAAAGAGCCAGGGATAAGTTTAAAGTCCATAAAAATCCTGAGTTTCGACGCACTAAGAGAAGAAAGCGCGCACACGAGATTTGACCTCCTTCCTGCAAACCGCGCAAGTGGTCATGCTTGGTGCGCACTTTACGCAGGCGACTATATGACCGCATGGCATAAATACAAAGCCAAGTTCCTCGTTGTAGCAAATTTTGCAAACTCTCGCGTCGTCTATACTCTTTTTTTCACTTTGCTGTGAATCTTCGGCTTTGCTCGAGTCACTCTTTGTCGGCGACGTCGACTGTTTAGTTTCGGCTTCGACCTCTGCACTCGTCCGTGGTTTCAACGCTGGACTTTTTATATTGCAGGTGATATTTTCAGTTGTTGTTGTTCTAGAGCTTGACTCTTCTGTGGGTTCGCTTTTCTCGGAAACTGGCGATTCAACTTTTTTTATACAGTTTGGAAGTTTCATCTTCATTATTTCCTGAAGCATCAATGGATAGACAAGCATTTATTTATCCGGCCACCACCTATTAATTGACAAATCATATGGAAACTATTCCTTACCTCATGGGATAGTGGTGATTGATGCTTTCCACTAACATTGTTGATAAAGTCTTGTCCCTTGACAAGTTTCACGTAGAAGCACGTGGAAAACCATTTGGCATGCTGAACCCAGGGGTCGTCTTGTGGCTCCCAGTTCTTCAGACCACCGCCGCAATGATAGCACGTAGTCTGATCGCCCGTCCCGGTGTAGAAGAAACCAGCGTCGGCCAGTTGTTCCTTTGTCTGTGCCATTGAGGTTGGCCAGTCGGCAAAAGTCTGTAGTCTTGCTTTATAGGTAGCGTAATCACCAAAATATGGCCGTTTGGTAAGCGACGATTCGTCGGTGCTCGATGACGCGCGAGTATCAACTTCGGCATCCATCCTGTAGTCGAGATTGTAACCACAGACGTCGCGACTTTTTGGTGGTATGGAATTGGGGTCGGCGCCGATTGGCACATTGCCACAAGGTAATTTACGTATAAATCGGCAGCGACCACCCCAACGCTGATGCTCGATAATTGGATCGTCATTCTCTTCCCAGCGGCAGATTTCTGTGCGGCACTCGAAACAACGTACCTTATCGATTTGACCTGTGTAGTAAAACCCGGCGGCGGCTAAGTCCGCGGGTTGTACGTATCGGCATGGCCAGTTGGTGTAGCTTTGCAGCCTGACTTCTTCGAACCTGATTTGGAAAAAGATGTTTTGGTGTCAGCATATGCAAGCTAGTTGTTAATGTCGATTCTTTAGGATTTGACAGTTTCATATTAACAGAGCGGTTAAATTAAAGTTCTAGAAGGAATGAGAAGTTATCAATAAACTTACTTAAATGAAAAAAAGTTTCTGAATAAAAGGATCTATTTTGCTGACTTATTAAGATCACTGGTTTCGATCGCAAATCATCATTGTGAATCCGTGATTAGAATTACCTGTATTCCATACTACCAGCATTATCAACTTTATTTTCATCGGGTTGTGGCGGTGTAGGTGTTCTTGGACCAAGAGTTTGTTTCAACAACTGCGCGTATGGGTGATTTCGACTATCTAACAGTCCAGCCATTTTATTCTTGTTTTCCGATTTGTGGCGATTGCCGATTGTCTGTAACAGAAAATAACGGAATTTATGAGAGTACGTGACTTTTTTAAATACTTGCTTTCGCTTTGTGAAAAAATTCAATGTTTTGACATAAGTAATCTCGTATGTATGAGGGAGTCACGAATTATGGCACTAAACAATAAAGTCTTTGATAAGATACTAAAATGTAGAGAATTGTCTTTTTCACAACGAAACATTATTATGATATCAGTGGACTCCTATCGTAAATGTCAACTGATAATTTTACTGAATTACTATTTTTGAAGATTTAGTAGATAGAAGAAGATAAGAAATATAGTAAGTTTTTTCATCTTCTTCAAAAATTCAAGTTCCATGCGTAACGCGTCTATTGAATACGTTGTACGTTAGAGATAAAATAATATTTACTATACTGATGGAAAAATTGTAATATCATTCTTTTATAAAAATACTTTTGAAATTCAATTTTACAAGTGAGCTTATTGATATCTGAAATAAAAATTTAATTGTGCTTACATCCCAAAAAAAACTGTCACCATCGCGAGTACTACCGCAATAAAAAACTAAAACAGTTCATGTAAACACGCTTATTACAATTAAACTCTTATTACGAATTAAGCTTGCTGCAAAATGCAAAAGTGTTGCCTAAGATGCAATGAGACGCCCACATAATACATCATCCATAGAATCCTTTTTAAGCAAACGACCTTGTCAACTCATGACTCATACTGTTTTTTTTTTCTAAAAGGAAAATGTTTTCTTGGGGAAATTTTGCAATGGTAATCGGTATTATGGCGTTGGCAAGACGGCACTCAACACGCATAATTGCTACGCCACACACAGTTTATTACGTATGAAAAATGTTATGACATTTCCGAATAGTCATTTGTCCCGTAGCGAATGAAATGTTATTCAACGAATTTTTCAGCTATGAGAGAGCAAATTTTTCAAAGCAAAGTATCATGATAATATATTATTTATAAACGCATATCACCGCTATTGTTGAAGGAATTCTTTTGAGCTTCTTATCATCTTATAAGAAATCATCTAAAGATTTTGATTAAAAATTTATTTATTCAAATGATAATAAGTGATACCAAAAGCACAAAAATAAAATGCCGAAGTAAGGTAGTTACTCTGTCAGAGGCTCTCTTTCGATTAATTAACTATAAAAACTAAGACTATAGACAAGGCATTTGCAGGCTAAGGGTCAAAGAGCAATAAAAAAAGGTCGCAGGAGAAGGAAAAGTGCTATATGTATAAATATATATAAATTAATATATATATTCATAATATATATATTTATCTTTATACTCTCGTGTCACAATTGTCATTTTTACCTTAAATTCAGTATTCTACAACGCCCTGCTCCATGCAAGTTTTTAATAAGATACCGAAAGCAAAATACATTATTCAATACGAATTGATTATTTTTTTTGTCACGCCAGCAGTCACTGCAACACTCGATAAACTCGCCTCCAAAAAGATATACCTCTCATCTCGCAAACAGAGTTTTGCAACTGCAACCTAATAAAAAAGTAATACGACATGTCGTAGCGTTGTGCGCATCCCACGAGGGAAGATTATATACGCGATTGATCCAGAATTAGCATAGACTATGAAGTCGTTTCCTTTTACAGAACGTTATATAGACCCATGCGTCTCGTCCCCTGCAACGCCCATCTGTCGATCCTGATTAAAAAAGCTTTCCCAGAAAACGACGCCCGTTACGAGGAATTTTCGCCTAAAGGTTTTGTTTTTTTCCAAGGCTCACGGAAATTTGGCAATGAATGTTTGCATCGCGCTGTTCAAACGAAGACTACGGCGTTCCTACCACGAGAAAGAATTTCAATATGTTTGAAAGAGCTGACTAATCGGAACAGATTCAGCAGTTTTGTCGTGCATTTATGCGTCACGTTCGCCAGAAGCGATCGATAAAAATGTCTCCGTTGAAAACATTCGTTAAGACTTTATCGCTGTTTTTTTTTCTCGGAAAGCTGAATACATTTCCGCGCCTTGTGAGTAAGCTCGCTCTAACAGTTGATTGAAAGAAACGAAATTCTCCGCGCTATTTTATAACACGTTCCAAAAATGACCTCGTCATTTGGAAAGTTTACAAGGACGGACGTAATGTCTGCGATGCGTCTGGTGGCGCTGGCCAACGGCCAGTTTGTTACTAGGCGCGCCGAACTGCTGAACCATAAGCTCGATCTGCTTACACGCGGCACACGAGCTGCAGTGGCGCGCACACATGCATGCGTGTAGCTTTTTATGCGCATATCGATCTCCGACGGGAAATGCTCAGCTATTATCGGGCTGAAATTGATAACTATGGCAAGCCACCTTTTAGCGGACACGCCTTTTTTGAACGATTACAGAAAACCCACTTTCAAGAGGCAAGACTCCGACGTGCTCTAGTTTTTAAACGAGCTTTTAAGAACGTTCTACATAAGGAGACGTCGGACGTGTACCGAGATTATGAAGATTATCATATGCAAGCAAATTTATATCACCTATGTAATTAAAGTTGCTTGAAAAACCAGATCCAAACGATTATCGGGACTTTAATAAACGTCAAAAATATGTGTTTGTTAGACGGATTTCTTCAAAATAAAAGTGCACGAAATGATGAAACTGTAGCTCATATGTAGCGCAAAAATAGATACCTTATCAAACTGTACAGTCGCGTCGAAATGAAGGGCGGACGTAACATGAGAACCTAGCGATGAAATCTTTGCAGAGAAGCGCAAGACGAATACGCCGAGAGAATGTCAGAGGCACACACCCGACACGATTAAATACTAAACAAGATGTATAAATAAAGCATAATCTCGGGAAGATAGGGCATCAAAGGATTCCGCTGAGATATCGAAGTGCTACAACGTCGCACTCTCTGTAAATCAATGCGGCGCCGACGTAATTTACACATGCGCAGACCTACATTCATCGAAAAAAATACAAGAGAATAAGCGAAACAATAAACACGGAAAACCCATGTGTTTGAATTTAAACGTTTAATATGATGTCACCCATAAGAAATATATTGTCCCCAATTTTAAACACTTCTAAACGTTTAAATTCAGCGACGATGTATTTCTTATGGGTGACGTCACAATTGCACACTTAAAGCGTTTAAATTTAAGCACATAGGATTTTAAGGTTTTGCCGTGAAAAATACGTACAATGTACGTCGCTTCCAACATGGTCGTTCGCCTCGCCTTTCCGCGCGCCGACTTTCGTTTCCTTTCTAGTCTTTTCTCTCTCGGGCGTGAAGTGAGGTACGTTGGCGTCAAATAACTAACAGATGGGAACATGCTCGGCGACACACGCGCATGCACGTACGAGGACGGACCCTTTGATCACTCGCTCAACTCTTATCAACAGCGACGAAAGGGAAAAAGACGGGGAAAAAATAAAGGCGCACAGCCGCGAAGGAAGAAAACACACGACGCTTCGCGCGTGCGACGACGAAAGTGGACCGACTGACGAGCGCTTGTACTGCATTTACTGTGCTGAGAGTGGCGGCGACGGCGGCAGCAGCTGCGTCGCTAACACACACGAAAGAGAAACGAACACAACGATACGCGCGTATTCGTTCCCACTTCGTGGTCTGTGCCTGCAACGCCAGAGTTGCCAGCTCGCCACTTGTCCGTATATATATTGTGGCGCTGATGCCAGCTCGAAGAAATTGAAGGCGCCTCTTTCCGTAAGAAGAATTTCGAAAACGCTAAAAACTCCGCCGTTAGAGGAGTCGATCGTAAGCTCTGTTGCCTAATAAAACATAAGTTCGATTGGTTTGATTGGCTAAGATCGCGAAATTTGTAGGGTCGTAGGGGTAAAGTGTCTATATAATCGGCTGACCTAAGTCACGTGACGACTGAACTTGAAAAAACATAGTCGACCACTTATCTTGCTAATCAAAATAGAATTTCTTCTTTTATTTTTGTGACAATCAATTGAAAGAACACATTTGTCTGAAATAGCAGGCACAATTTGTTTGTTGCTTCTTCTTTGCAGAAATAGTACATTACGATACAAGTGCGGGAAAGTAGATTCTTGTCTCGTGTGGCGTTTACGCCCGAGCGAAGCGAGGGTGGAAAGGTACACGAGACGAGAAACTATTTCCTGAACATGTGTCGTGCCGTATTTTTTTATACGACGTGTGAAAAGTGCGATTTTCAACGTACGTTTTTTGCCGAGCATGCGGGAAAAACGCTCTTTCCGCATGGAGTGTCGAAAAGTGCGATTTTCAATGCACGTTTTCTGCCGAGCGTGCGAGAAAGACGCACTTTGTGCACGGAGTGTCGAAAAATATAATAATGAATTGGTATATCTCGAATTATTCAGTTTCATTCAATTTGCAATAAACTTACGTTCGGAAGTTTCGCTTGTGTCTTACGCTTAGCAACTCAGCGATCGTCGTTCCTTCCAAACAGCCAAAGGCAGTTTTTCTGGAGTCATTGATGAAATTAAAAATTGATCAATTCAAAATGTACTCATCGTCAAATAAATTATAGCAAATAAATAAAAAAATGTTAAAAGTAACGGAGTTCGCTAAAGCTATGTGTCGGTCTTTCTCACCTGTCAACCTAATAGGATTGATTCCTCTTCTACCCCGCGGAATTCGCCCTTTTTTATACAAGCGCAGTCGCCGTTCACGAGAAGTACGACGTGGCTCTTTCAGCGCTATATAGTACTATAATACGCACGCTGCTTCTACTCGCGTTTTCCCTCTTTTTCTTCTTCTTTTTTTCTGAGGAGTGTCGTTGCAATGGAGTACGCGTGTACACGAGAGTAGTCGCGACTGCTGCATGAAAGAATGAAATTTTCTGCTGCAAGCGAAGGGGTTGCTCGTGTGAATCGTCGGCTGTGCGCTAGACGGTTAAGAGAGGGGTCGAATTAGAACTCTGAGACCGAGAGCTCTGACGAGAAGAGTTTCTCTCTTTTTCTCCTTTACTTTATTTTTTTTTTTATTAATTCTCAACTCGTAAAATTTTAAAGGCCGAGCTTTTCATTAGTCGATGCCTTTCGTGGAGAAATTCCCGGGCTTAGTCGATGTATATTTCATGTTAAAATATTGATTCCCAATTTAAATAATGAAATATTGAGGTGCGTGACAGCAAAATGGACAATCAGAATTATTTATTCTGTGGTTAGCTTTCGAAAGATCATTATAGATAATCATACAGTTGTGGCAATTGAAATTTATTTATTAATAAGAAATTTTATGTTAAGAATAAATAATTTGCAGAAAACTATCATGGCTGCATGTCAGTTTAAAGACAAAATGTAAAAAATTCTGCTTATTACATAGTAAATAAGTAACATTTCTTTTAATAAAAAAAATAAAATTTTTATTTACCATTACAAACAAAACGATAAATTAATCTATTTAGTATATTTAAGTCACTAATGACAAAATCGAAAAGCAGGATTTACATGGATTTCATTCAGTGATGGGTAGCCAAATCGGCCAGATCGAAAAAATCGACAATTATTTTACGAATTTCCGAGCCCTTTTTTTCAACATGCAAACACTATCATATCAAATAAAATAAGTTTCGCAAAAAGAATTTTTGCAAAAGAGGATGAGATCGTGTTAGGTGGAATTCTTAAATCATAAATAAATTACCAACACCATTTGAAAACAACAAATTAAATAACATACTCGCAGCTATTTACGCGTCTTAAACTTACCCTTTCGTGCTTTGAAAATGTACATTTATATCTATGCGCCGTCATTATGCAGTTTCCTTCCACCCTTGATCACCCAGCACTTTATCATGCTCTTTTGGAACACACCGTTCTTTTTTTCATATCAACTATTGACCTCGTGCATGCTACTAAAGTTTCGTTCATGCGATTCAATGCTCGTGAAAACAGGCCGGTTTCCTATTGTTCTTATAAAGCGATCGATTTCACTATTCTGAAAAATATATAAGGTCTCCTGCAAGGCCCTCGATGTTTCCCACACACCCCCATATGGTGTCCTAGCAGGAATTTCGATCCGCCCTCAGCGACGCTGGGAGTCTAATCCACTCTGGTATCTCGTGTGACTGGGAGACACGCCGATGGGAAATATTCCCACGCGATTTTTGGCGCACTTTTTGAAAACTAGTCCTTGAGAAACACTTTTTACGCGTTTTCTCACACCGAGAAATTCATGTCATGCTTTGTTTTATTAAAATATTCGTGCGTGGAGGTGATAGTTAACGAGTCAACGTTAATTTCGATAGAAGCAAGACCATAGCTAATTTAAAAAAATGCTAGGAAGTTGATGAAACAGCGAAGCAACAGAAGTTACAATGACAAGATTACTTTTCCATAACCGTTCGTTTTATTTCTGCAACGATCGAATTCGTTTTTCAGCACTTTTCGTTCACCATAATGGGTCTATTGAAACCGGCACGTTCGAACAATCGTGCCTCGGTTCGACTTTCACAATTGACTTTTTTTTTTTTTAAGAACGACTGCTTCGTGAGCTGGCAACGGCGTTTACTTACGACTTCGGGAATCGTACGTGAGTGAATGCGAGATGATTTTCATACAAAACATGAAAACGAGACACCGCTGAAGTACGAAATACCAAGAATGAGATGATAAGCTGATGGAGAAACATCTCACTTAAGTCCTGCCTGGAAACGAGAATTGTTTCATGTTTTGATAAATTGCAGCTTAAGAATATCCATTCTCTGTAAATGTAAACTACTGTAACTAGTTTATTGTTCGGCTATCAGGTGGATCTTCAGCGCTCTTCGATTTAAGAAAATGAACGGAAGATCCACTAATCGAAATCGAGTCGGAGAATATTATCCAATTGAAAGCTCATTTAGTCAATGAAAAAATTCGGCTGGAGTATAACCTTGTCTGAAGATTAAGGAACGAAAGAAAAAGCCAACTCGATGACGAAATCATCTGATGTCAAGTCGAAAACGTGTGTCGAACGCTGTCACGTGTACACTAAATCTCCTTACTCATTCGGCAACTACGCCGAGAAAGTCGCTTATATATAGAACATGCAGGAAGAAGAACAGAGCAAGCGTGAAAAGAAAGACGGAAGAACCGTGTAACCGACGCCCCATGCGAGACTTCCTCTACTCGAAATATCCATTACGTTGTATGGAAGATGCGCGAGCACTTTCTGTATTTATAAGCAGCTGCCGCTTGTCCAGGCATTCGTATGCAAATCAAATCTGCTGCTGGATTCAATTTATCTGAGATTCATAATGAAAACGGGCAGTTGTAGGACTGCATTTTCGAATTTTTAAACAAGCAGATTTGTGCTTTTATTATTCGAATATTGTTTTACTTTTGAAAAGTTTGGTATTCGCGAATGGTTTACCCACTCAAGGATCAATAGAAGGGTATTCGCAGTAAAACCCTTTCCTGACTCACATCCACTATAGCCCGTGCTATGGCTTCTTTCTTAGGCTCGTTTGGAACGCTGCTTAATGTTTCAGAGATCTTTTTTCTTCCAGTGAAGTCGATTGCAAGAATATATGTAAAAATTTAACGAAACAATTCTACTATTAGAAATCCATGCCACGGTCTATCAAAACATATTTATTTGTCGATATATAGAATTGCGAAACGACATCAATAATTAATTTAGATAAAAAAAAGATTGTCATAGCATAATGATTCACTTCTCGCGCCCACACCCGCGAAAGTCATGGCATAATTACAAACCCGTACGCGTATTCCCACAATGCAAATCGACGTAGATAAAAAAAGGCTGCCATGATGGTGCGGGGCCCGCACGGACCTTGGGCCCGAACACTTTTAACTTTCTGCGCCGCGATGTAATCGGAGCAGGGGGGAAGTGTGGATGTTTATGCGAGGGAGTAGTGAAGAAAACTGGAGAAGACACGTGGCAATATTATGTGTATCACGCAAAGACAACGACTGTACCCATGTGCATGTTCTTATGCGTACGTGTACTGTTAGGTGGGGCAGGAAGTACGACGTCATGCAACGATTGTGCCTATATTTTACCTTACTCCTTCTCCTCTCTGTGCGCGTGTGTACGAGTGGCCGCTTTTGTTATTTTCAAAGGCGCACATTGTGTGACTTTTATGGCGGCCAACGCCTTAGATTTGAAATTAGCGCCTTCGGAGAAACTTCCTCTTAGAAGGCCAATAGGCACTTAAAATTTCCATCGCTGTTGTTTGGGGTGGAGAAAATTTGCCACTTAAAAATTTGAAATTTATCAAGAACGATTTTTTTAGTACCTTTAGCCATTCATACTTAGTTGAAAAAGTAAAGTTGACCATTAATATTTGTTATGATTTCAAGGATAGTTACGTTGAATTTACAAAATTAACACAAGAAAGTAAAAACTATTAATAAACCATAATTTCCAAATTAAAACAAAATGTATTACTTGTATAGTTAATGAATAGCTATATATAATCGTGTGGTTGAGTTGTCGGTAGAATAAAGGAATACTTTACCATGATAATACTTAAGCTTGCGATTCAAATGTTTATTCAAAACCACTAACAACGTACACTTCGCATATAGTTTTAATATCCAGCATGGAATAGAAACTATCAATGAAAATAAGTTTCAGATACATTCCAAAGAAAGTAATTGAAGCAAACTATCGACATAGAAATAACACGCTGATCAAGATGCATTGAAAGATCGGCGACGACTCGGCGCCGCAAACATCGCAAATTCAGCAGACGTTTCTCGTGATCATCACGGAAACGAGTAAAAGCAACGTCATGTTTGATAGCTAAAGACGCCAATCAACGGTCGTCCACCTCGATAAGATGCACTCTTATCTAATCGATTGACGTACGCAAGAGCAAAAACAAAGCTTTTTCCTCCGGAACTTCATTGACGATCATTGTTAATCAAGGGAGTGAGTTTCCGTTCGGCCCGTATGTCTACCCGAAATCTCTTGTCGGTCCCTATGTTACGCTCTATTTATCTTCCACTGAAATAGAACGCCATGAATAAATTCTGCTTCGAAGAATGTATATAAATTTTTAACGATTATTTGGAAAAAGCATGACGTACAATTTTTATGTTCAATATTTTTATTATTCTTTATACGTTTAGATTAAAAGAAAAATGTGTTGCCGTGAGACGAATGCCTTTTTTTTGTTTTACAGACACGGTAAGCAAGAAACTTAAAACGAAATAAAAACTCAAGGTAATATTTGTCATTTTTTTTTATTGCTACTGGTTATATTCCTACGTGTATATTTATCGCCAAGTGACACAGTTAAAAAACGAAAAGCCATTGACATTTCACTGAAACAATCTATAAAAGAGTTTAGTGCGAATAACGGAAAGCGACTCGCCAATGCAAGAAAAAGGTAAATTTATAAGCCTCTTTTCATGGCAATTAATTATACGTATAGAACCACGAACGCTTACAATTCCACTATTGATCAAGAAAAAAGTAAAGTACGCGCGTCAAGAATAGCAGAAGTTCATGCACCTGCGTACCCGACAGTTTGCGTGCATAATCACACAACTGATGCGAGAGGAAAAGAAATTTGTCTCTTTGTCCAAAAATATTCCGCTCGCCCGTCGAGTCTCCGTCGACGGGGCTACACGTCTGCCGCGGAGCGCTTATATAAGCGAATTGATTCTGAGTCTAAATACACGTCAACCTTATTTCACCGCTAATTATATATAAATAGCCAGATACGACGTACATATAGGTTTGACAACTATTTATTATCGTTGACTACTGGAATCGATGCTTATAAATCGATAATTCGCTCCGCGACTGCTTATGAAAAATAGATTTCGCGCATGCAATTGTAAACGCTGGCTACACGCGTGAAAAAGCTTTCCTCCGTCCCAACACATTTGGATGTTCAGTTCAAACGTCAAGCACACCATTACAACGCGCATGCACCAAAAAAGCTCTTGTGTTTACCTCCAGAAGAATTCGAGCCGACCGCGCGCTGCTCCGATATTGCTTGTCTCGACGGTAACCTCAAAATTGAGAAATCATCAAAGGGCCACCGCGAGTTAAAGAAAAAGAAGCACGCTCGTTCGTTTACATCGTCAGCTCACTGACTAGCGACTCGCATTCGACTATACGATACATTACTTCTACCGCGCTTGTAGATGGCGTCGGCTAGGCTTTTGTAGGTGTACGTGTGTGTGCCTGTGTTTTTGTTGATATACACACACACACGTATGTATGTATGTATGTATGTATATCGCGTGCGCCGCGCCCGTTCACACAATTACAGAATATTTAGCGCAAAAAGAAGAAAAAAAGCTAGACGTCGTCATCGTTCGCAGCCACGTTCGTTGTTGTCACCCGGACCAAGGCTGCACATAATTATCACGCACTGCTGGCGTTGCGCAACGTTATTTCAGCGCTATCCGACTGCACGCCGCCTTTTCGAGAGATGCGCGTTAGCCGAATATCGACGTAAAACTGCCGGTTCCGCTTGGAAGGGCTGATTTTCTCCTTCGCCGTCCTTCGAAAAGGGAGCCCGGGAAAAGTCACGGGGTGCGGGCGGGGATGAAAGGAAAGCCAGCCCAGGGCTGTGCACGATCGCGGTGGCAGCAGCAGTAGTAGTAGGGACGAAAAGGGATGCGCGCGAGAAAGTGCAGTTACATCTGCGCATCGCGTACGCGGGGGCGTATAGGGCTATCGACCTTGCCTGCCGTTGCCGGCGACGCGCTCTGCGGCTGCACCTCTCTATCTCCTTCGTTCGCGATAGCGGGAGGTGGCTATGTTTTGATTTTCGAGGTGATGAAGGGTGCGCGATTGAGATAACGAGCATTTCAATCTCGTAATATGACTGCGCGAGGAAGTCATTTCAGATGGGAATTGGGCGGAAAAGGCTTTGCTCAATCTTGCGGAAAATCTGTTTGCGTGTGTAAAAATGTAAAAAGCTAAGCGCAAGGCCACATTTATCTCGCGGAAGATACGTTTAAAGAGTAGATTTTCAACAGTAGACCCGCCGAAAGGTTTCTTTTCACTTTGTTTAGCTAGTTTTCTGACTTTTTTTCTACGTAATAAATGCTCAGCCTTTGAAAACTAACAATCGGCATCTTGCACTAGAACTATGAGCGATGGCCATTTCTTTCGCTTGTTTCAATACACAAATAGAAAGATCCATTAAAAATGCATTAAAAACATTAATCTATTATAAAACAATTGGAATATTTGCTTGGTACAAGCGTCGCGAGGTGCGCCGGCCGGGCTGCCCGGAAAATGGATCGTTACACCCCGGAAAAAGAGAGAGAGAGAAATTACACGTTCCCCTGTAAGAGGGGCAAGGAGTACGCTACAGGGGAGTGGAAGCGTGGCTTTTCTCCTTAAGGGTAGTAGACGTGGCGAATTTCCACGAGCGATCGATCGAGGAAACGCGCCACTAGCAGGGCTCTCTCCTCGGACGACACCGAGCGAAGGACCGCCCTTCGCTCGAGC